ATATATATATATATATATATATATATATATATATATATATATATATATATATATATATATATATATATATATATATATATATATATATATATAAAATGTGTTGTTGTTTAAGATTTGCTACTTGGAACAAAATGTTCCAAGTAGCACAGGCTATGGTGAGCCCGTAGTAATATATATGCATGCAAATTCTTCATCGACTTGCTTCCATCCTTACCTGTGACCGAGAGCCCGGTCGACGATAGCATTGACAACACTCGTCTTGTACCTGTCTGGGCAGTCACTATTGGCATTGAGGCACATTCCTATGCTTGTTTCCTTGGTGTAGACTACAGTGTGGAAGCCTCTGTTCCTTTCTGTGACTGTTAAATCTAGAAAGGGCAGCTTCCCTTCATTCTCCATCTCGTAAGTGAAACTTAATACATAATTCTGCTCAAATGCCTCCTTCATGCCTCTGTAGGGTAAGGTAGGTCCTAGTCAACAATGGCTTCTCTAACGGTTATGTTGAAGACGTCATAAAAAGAAAGGTGAAATGCCATGCAACCTCTGAAGAGTCAACTAGCACAACACTTGTTCCCCCTATTAGACTGTTTTACAGGAACTTCTTATCGATGGCTCATAAAACGGAGGAAAGGATCCTGAAAGATATTATTAATTGGAACGTTATCCGTACAGACAAAAATCAGAAAATACAATTGACAGTTTACTACGAAAACAAAAAAACGGCCACCCTACTCATGAAAAACTCCCCAGACACCAAACAGAACGTCTTGAAGGAAACCATCGTCGTTTATGCCTTCACATGCCCACTTGGGGACTGTAAGCCCCAAAGAACTCAGTATATAGGCAAGATAACAACATCTCTTTCTTGGGGATTAACAATGCGCAAACAACAGGGCTCCATCAAGGAACATATAATTTCTTCTTACAACCAGACCATTGCCAGAGAAATCTTAACAAACAACACAGAAATCATCGATAAATACAGCGATAGCAGGAGAGACTACATCAGCGAAGCACTACACATCAAAAAGTCAACACCAGCAATCAACAGCCAATTAATGCACAACTATATTCTACCCACTTTAAGACCCTGAACCAACATAGAAGCAGCAAGAAAAAGTATGGGCCAATAGGCCTTCTGCAGTTACTATCATTCTTATGCCTTTCATACCCAATTAATATCCACCTCACTCAAAACATTTGTGTCATATCACCTTACCCAAAACAAATAAAAAGCATGATGTATGTTATGTGTAAATTACGGGCTCACCTAGCCGTGCTACATGGATACTTCGTTCTGAGTAGCTAAATCTAAAACAGCAACAACTTACGTGTAAATCAAGACTTTGAAAATGTAAGAAGCCTTATGAAATGCTTCTAGGCATCAGACCAAAAATATAAATGTAAAGAATGAATTTTGGAGAGTTAATTTTTCAATTACCCTTGACAGTGAAGAAAAACGTAAGAAATATTGAGAAGATTTGTGTTAGAATTATTAATCTTACCCTTTCGGTCATATTCCACAACATATGTTTACAAGAAAGACTGCTACGAAAAATATACTAATATACTGAATTTTTTTTATATTTCTTATGTTTTTCTTCACTGTCGGTGGTAATGAAAATAACAGTTCTCCAAAATTCATATTTTATTGATGGTCTGACGCTTCGATCATCGAGATCATCAATAGGTACAGAAATAGCAGGTGGCTCGACATCAGCGAGGCACTACACATCAAAAAGTCAACACCAGCAATCAACAGCCAATTAATGCACAACTATATTCTACCCACTTCAATGCATCGAATGGGCAATAGGCGCTCTGCAGTTACTTCCATTCTCATGTACCCACCTCACCCAATACCCACCTCACCCAAACCAATAAAAAATGAGGGAATATGTCAAATGTTTCATACACAGTGCATCAAGTGTATCATAAAATTGTAGTTCATAAGTGTAGTGTAAGTGTAAAGAAGTCTTTGAGAATGTAAGAAGCCCTTACGAAACGCTTCTAAACGTCAGACCATCAATAAAAAATGAATTTTGGAGAATTGTTATTTTCATTACCACCGACATATATATATATATAAAATAACACACAGTATAATATAAAATATATATTGGGGGGGACGCGCATTAAGTGTATATTTATATTATACACTTACTGCATGTTCCCCAATACAATGAATTATGAGTTATGCTGCTGATTTGCATATATTAGACCTAGAAGAGATTAGATTAAGCCATTGCATTTTTATCTTCCTTTAGAATACAGTATTTGTAGTACAAAAGATGGTCTTTATTTTTAGTGGCCACCGTCCCCCTATGATTGCTATATGCACATTCAGTACTATCATTTTGGAAGGTGGGTTTTAAAACCTATGTACTGTAAACAAATGAATATAAGGTAACAGTACAGATTTTACCATGAACAATACAAAATTCATATCTGATTCCTAATTATTTTGTGGGGGTTTGGATTGCAAGATTGGTTCATTGTTATGATATAGTGTATTTGTTATTTAGAAGTTCAGATTTTGGAAGTTCCACGGTACAAGTTCTGAGAGTGAAATGAGTACAGAATCCAATCGAGATGATAATGAGTACTAGGAGTACAGTGTAAAGTGTTTAGGGAGTATTCAGAGTTAATGAAGTACGGTACAGTGAATATAACAACCGATCCACTTGAAGTGAGAGTACTTATAGTAACTATTTTGCTGGAAGTGCCATTATTTAGTGATGGGCCTCCAAAAAAAGTTATCTTTTTGTAGTTTTAATTTTATAGAGTCCAGAAAAAATTCAGTATAGCTAAAAACCAAACATAAACATTAAGCATAGTATAACACACATATGTACTATATTAGGCCAAAGACAGCAGGTATTAGGCCTAGGATTGCTAAGAGAGTTTAGGTTAGGTTAAGTTCTATACAGTATTTGTGTTGTGGTTAAAAAAAAAAGTTTTCAGTTTGGTTAAATTCAGCAATAGAAAATGCAAACTTTTTGGCAGTCCATCACTACATATTGATACTTTTAACCAAATAGTTATTATAATACTGAACTACCATTTTAGGAGGATTGACTGGAGTATACAGTACAGTATGTGTATGTACAGGAAGTATACTGCACCAAGTATTCACTATAATGATTATAGGTACAGTACTGTACTATAATGAGTTCAGAGATCATATGTCTCAATCACCAGGTGAGACATACTGATTAATATTTAAATGAGATGTTACTTTACAATACCCAATGTGTGGTTAAGAAAAGGAATTGATCATCTTGAATTTAGTTCATCTTTAGTTCATGTTAGTTCAACTTGAACATGAGTACTGTATACAGTATAATGAAATTTGCATCTGAAACTCCCTAGAGTTTCAATAATATACAGTATTGAAACCATTTAGCTACTGACTGAATTTGCTTTTATTGATTTGTATAGTAATATTGAGAGACTTTCATTGCAGGTTTATTTTTGTAAGATGTAATATCTGATATTGGTAATTTTATTGTAAGCTAATTTAATTTCTTTCTGGGAGGGCTTCCAGCAGTTGCTCCCCGAGCTACCCACCAGGATATTACAGACACTTTGTAATCAAAAGTATAAGTGCATACTGGAGGCTAGTACCAGACTCTGACCTCCCCTCAGTAGAGGGCAGGGGAAGTCTGGGAATACATGTGGATAAACCAAGGCTAGATAAAACAGCTCACCAGAAAAGTAGTTCCCCTAATCAAGCAAACTCACGGAAAACATGCATTTGCTTCAGATTCTTGAAGTTCTGAACCAACTTTAGAATCACTTTTAAATACATGAATGGTGAAATATTAAAGAAACTGTTCACGACTCGTGTGAGACCAAAATTTAAATATGCAGCAGTTGTATGGTGCCCATATCTCAAGAAGCACATCAATAAACTGGAAAAAGATGCATAAGCATGCTACAAAATGGCTTCTGGAAATGAAAAACAAGAACTATGAGAAGAGGCTAGAGGGGTTAAATATGCAAAACCAGAAGACAAGAAAGAGAGATGATATGATCACTACAGTCAAAATAATGACAAGAACTGACAAAATTGACTAAGAGGAATTCTTGAAACCTAGGTGCCAAATAAATATTAGAAAGTTCTCTTTTGCAAACAGCGTAGACAGTTGGAATAAGGTAAGTGTAAAGGCGATGGAGACCAAAACCCACAGTTGTTTCAAAGCGTCTTGGGATAAAGAGTACGGGGAAGATGTAGCTACCATGAGCGTAGCTCTCATCTTGTGACTGCACTTAGGTAATTAAGGGAGGAGTAGCAGCCCTACTGATACAACAACATTGGAGCTTTGAGGAGGTAGAGATTCTGGAGGTAATCAACCAGAAGGATTTTATATTAGGTATGATAACAGTGAGGTCCATGAAAATAGTGGTATGTATTTACATCCCCCCATTAACTACAGGAAGGTCAAGGGAAGAATATGATAAGTGCATTGAAACATGTCTAAAGATAATAGAAAAGGTGGCTACATTAGCAAGGATAACTAGAGCAAAGATCCTAATATTTGGGGATTTTAATCACAGGGAAATAGACTGGCTGACAAAGGATTCTCACAGGTGGTGATGAAACACGGAGAGAATGGGCTTCATCACATTCACCAATCGATCCTCATGTAATATACAAGGATCCAACACTAAGGCCACAGAAACAGAAGCATTTTCAATCAAAGGCCATTTAGTTGTCCTAGTCAAGAAGAGATGCATGAAATGTCAGCTAAACAGACCGAATCATTACCTGTTTTGCATTAGGGATTGGCAAACTGAGGTATACGGGGTAGTTTGGCAAACTCGGGTAAGAGGTATAGGTACTGGTATGTTTTGTGAACTTAAAATAACTTTAATGTAAAATGCATTTGTTTTGGTAATTATAACCTTGGAATTTTTTCTGTACATATATTACAGGTACAGTACCATTATGATACCATTATGATTCAGAAGATAAATAATAATTGTTGTTTCATTAGGGGGCTGGCACCATACCATGGAGCAGCGTCCTTTATCACATCATCCTACAAAGCACGGGGCACAACAGAAACATGTACCTCCTCCTCCACATCCGTCAAAGAGGAATTATAAGTTACTTATTGATCCAGTCCTTGTTAATGGTGCAAATAAACTTTATAGGTAAGACCTTTATTAAGTTCAAAATTGTATTTGTTTTAAACAAATTATAAAATGAATATCATGGGTAGTACAGTATGCAGGTACACATCTTTTTTGTTGTTGTTGCTGTTATCCCAGTTAACTCTTTCATTGTGACACCATGACTCATCCTGTTCCAATGTTGAGTCAAAATGTGGCTAAATAATGAATATTTTATATATAAGTTTATTTCATTTCTAGTAAGAAAAATATCTACTCTTCCTAGTTTTGTCATTATAATAAACAAACATTTTATAGTCTTTATTTTCTAATGAAAAATATAGTCCAAGCAATTCAGTGCCTGTGTTGTTTTCTAAGAGTGGCTTCACCGTCAGGAACCTGACAGCTGAGTGGACAGCACTCGGGATTCATAGTCCTGAAGTTCTGGGTTCGATCCCCGGTGGAGGCAGAAGCAAATGGGCAGGGGTTCTTTCACCCTGATTCTCATGTTCACCTAGCAGTAAATAGGCAGCTGGGAGTTAGACAGCTGCTACGGGCTGCTTCCTGGGGGTGTGTAACAAAAAGACCTGGTCGAGAACCGGGCCACGGGGGCGCTAAGCCCCGAAAAAATCTCAAGATAACCTGAAGATGATCTCAAGTTAACGGTGGTTCCTGAGAGGAGCCTGTGTCTGCACTTTCTGGTTTCAGTTTTTATTCTTGTCGGACCTGGCACGCCCTCTTAAGTCTGATATGGTTTGGCTATGGACCTGCCCACTGAGCCTTCTCTTGCTGGGTACGTGCTGCAGGGAGATCCTGTACCTCGATTTGGTTCAGATTTTTTCTGTGCTCCCTTTTATGGGGCTTGTCAAGCAGCTGCCGTTTTGCAGGAATGTCTTTCTTGCTTGGGTGCTACATAGCCTTCCCGGCTTGGTGCTTTCTTTGATAATTACTTACTTTCCTGCTTGCGTTGTTTGGGTGCTGTGCCGCTGGCTTGGATACCCTGGAGATGTATTCTTCTATGTTTTTTATATGGATCTGGAACAGTTGGTCTTGACAACCTGTTCTATCCCTCTCTTCTTCTGGCCCTGTTGGCATCTTTGGCTTTTGGAACCCGGAGCTTTTGCTGTTCTGGGGGCTGCCGCTTCCTCGTCGGCAGCGGAGGTGAGTTAGCGAGTGCTTCCCATCATGGATCGGCTTCTTTATGTTTTGTAGAGGTCATAATGTATTGGAATCGTCTCAAAGCTCTCCAAATGTACTTACTAGAAAGGAGACGAGAGAGATACCAAATAATATACAGTACACGTGGAAAATACTAGAAGGCCAGGTCCCTAATCTACACAGTAAAATAACAATGTACTGGAGTGAACGATATGAAAGAAAGTGCAGAATAGAACCAGTGAAGAGCAGAGGTGCCATAGGCACAATCAGATAACACTGTATAAACATCAGAGGTCCGCGGTTGTTCAACGTCCTCCCAGCGAACATCAGAAATATTGCCGGAACAACTGTGGACATCTTCCAGAGAAAACTAGACTGTTTTCTAAAAGAAGTTCCGGACCAGCCTGGCTGTGGTGGGTATGTGGGCCTGCAGGCTGCTCCAAGCAACAGCCTGGTGGACCAAACTCTCACAAGTCAAGCCTGGCTTCAGGCCGGGCTTAGGGAGTAGAAGAATTCCCAGAACCCCATCAAGCAGGTCCTTTCAGTGAGATTCTTCCTCGTATGGGGATGCCTTTCTGTCGAAAGAGACACAATTAGGTGGGTTTACTAAAAAAACAGCATTGAATGTAATGAAACGCCATTTTCTGGGTGAGACCCGGAGGCTACCCAAAGCTATCCAGACTAATATGCTAATGTCAGACTTTAACATCAGTCATGTGTATGGAGTTCTGAGGGCCTACCGGGGACCACGAGCCAGAACCTGGCCCCCTCAGAGAGGCATGGGGAGCAATGGCCTATAGAAACCCCCATGTGGTTGGAAGCATTCTATGTCTGCTATCAACCGGGTCAGGCACCCAGAAAGATAAGCGTCCCAAAACAAACCCCTATTCTGGTGAGAATTGCTATAAAAAGCTGAACAAGTGGATAGAGCTTCCCAAAAAGAAACGAGCAAATGAGCATGACGTCACACTTCGCTGCACCGCTGTCTGCGCAGCTCCCCCCTCCCCAGGAGGGGGGGAGCTGCGGGTTACAGGTTTACTTTACAAGCGGGTTACGTAAAAGAAAGAGGTCAGTGATGACATTTGAGAAGAAAGTTGAAATAATTAAGAAGGTGGAGAGTGGTGTCCCGAGAAGTATCGTGTGCGCTGAACATGGCATTAGTAAAAGTACTGTTTTTTATCTTAAGGCTAAACCTATCATTTTTTACTATTTCTCAAGAAGTGAAAGTGATAAGGCAATACGAAATAGAAAGGTAGTAAGTAAAGCAAAGGTGGAGAGTGTTGATAACGCAGTGTGGGAGTGGTACAAACAGAGATGTGAGGTGGCGAAGAAGCCAGTGGCAGGCTGGCTGCTCGTGGAAAAGGCGCGTGAATTTCACCAAGCAATGAAAATTACTCAAAAATGTGTATACAGTGATGGATGGCTCAGAAGCTTTAAAACCCGTCATGGCATTAGGTTCATTAAAGTGCATGGTGAAAGACAATCTGCTGATATTGTTGGTGCTGATGAGTATGTAAGTAAATTTGCGGAGATGGTACAGGAACAAAATTTATCTCCAGAGCAAATTTATAATGCTGATGAGACAGGTTTGTACTGGCGTATGCTACCCACAGACACGATGACTCATAGTGGTGAGGACGATCTTTCAGGTGGTTATAAACAGAACAAACAGAGAATTTCTTTGTTGTGCTGTGCAAATGCAGCTGGCACGCACAAATTAAAATTATTTGTGATTGGAATTAGTAAAAACCCCATTGCTTTAAAGTCAGCCAGGTGCCTCCCTGTGATTTATAATGACCAGCCAAGTGCGCCGATGTCTTGAGTAATATTTGTCGAGTGGTTTAATAAGGACTATGTAAATATAATGTAAATAAATATGCTTCATCAACATATGTGGATCAGGACTTCAATTATTGGTGAGTACAAACAAAATACAGTCGCATTTACGCTATAAACCTGTCGATATTTTCCCCTAGAGTTTTTTTTTTCATAAATTTTTTCTATTTTTTTTTTCTCCATTTCTCGTATACGAACTTACATGTTAACCGACGGGTCTCGTGCCCAAGGGGTTCGGAAACCAAGTGGTGCTCTGTATAGGAATCCCTACCATGCGATGACTTCGGACTCAACGTCCCCGCGGCCCGGTCCTCAAAGTTCCCGCGGCCGGCCCTCAACCAAGCCTCCTAATATCCTTAGGAGGTATCCTAAATATCCTTATTCATATTTCTTGACCAATTTTGACATTAATTAGTTTTACTTGTATTTTATTCAGATTTGAGGGAATTGTAGAAGGTGACCCCACTTACCCACCTGTTGTGCTCCGGGATCCCCGAAAACAAAAAATATGGATTCGACCAGAGACTATGGATTTAACTGTTCCCCGATTCAAGGCAAGTTAGAATTGTTTTTCAATCAATTACTCTACTAATACACAACAGTTAATTTGCCATCTCTGTCCCTTCATCCCTAACCGCTCCATATCTCTCTTTCATGGGATGAGGTAGTACTCGCTAACAATTGATACTAGTCAGGAACCTTTTAGATTCATGTTGACAACCTTTCTTTGAAAACTCCTACCATACTTACATGTTTTATAATATTATTGTACTGTAAATTTCTACAATACCCCATGTTAATTTTCACCTAAATAAAACCACCCAAAAACAGTGAAAATAGCATGACTTTATTTTGTTAAAATACAGATCCAAACATTTAAGATTAAAAGTAAAGTTTTTCATGTTTGTCTCTCTCAGTCAAATGCAATATTTACAGCTTGGACTTGCAATAATGTCCTATCTTTTTAAAAAGTTGCTAAATTTGCATTCTGTGAGAGACCCCCTGTTGATTACCTGTCCTGTCAATGAGTCAGAGGATCAACGTTCCTGCAGCCCAGATGCCGACCAGGCCTCCTGGTTGGTGATCTGGTCAACTAGGCTATGATATGTAGCTGCTTGTAGCCTGACATATGAGTTGCAGCCTGGTTGTTCAGGTATCTTTTGGAGGTGTTTGTCACGTTTTCATTTGAACACTGCTGGGGGTCGGCCAGCTATGCCCCGTATGTGTAGGGGGGGGGGGAGTGTTGAAAAGTCTTGGGCCTTTAATGTTGATCGAGTTCTCCGTCAACATACCTATTGTACCACTGCATTTCAATAGGGCTATTTTGCACATGTTTCATACCTTCTGGTCTCATGAGATGGGTTGAGGCCAGGCCAGGCGCACACTGCTAGTTTGTTTGTACCCACTCATCCTACCCTCGCTGCAGGCTTTCACTATCATGGAATAGATTATGTTTCATATCAATGATTACACACTGTACTCGGGTACATTCATCAAATAATATTAAAATGAAATAAACAAGCTTATTAATATGAATAAGGAATACATGGAGTAATGTACATATGAAGTACACTATTAAAGAGTACAAATGCCTAAATACTGCCTGCTTAAAGAAATGTTGACTGGGTAGAGGCTAGCTTGATCGTGTGCCTCCCCCCCCCCCCCCAATCTAATACAGACCCTTACCCCTGAAACCACCATATATTATGAATTCCTTATTTTGACTATGGAACATTATAGTGATGAGTTATAAACAAGCAAAATGGTCAAATGTTCTCAACTGGTGAGGGATGAAGGGCAGCGAGGAAGTGAAGCATTGAGGCAGCATTTTGATACTGCCCCAGCTATGTATTAAACAGACAACCAAGAATACAATATGCAAGTGTGAAGCAGATATCAGCAGCAAAAAAAAAAAAAAAAAAAAAAAAAAAGAGCCATCTAATTTTTAGTGCCATTTTTGCATTCATTATTTCAAATCTTATGATTCCAAGTGTGACATAAGATCAAGACTGGCAGCAATTTATAGCTGGCTATTGGCCCTATGACAGTCACCTAATTGAACTACAGTATAGTAGAACCCAGTAGAAATTGACGAGTGCCTCAATTGACGAGCAATTTGGGTAACGAGTGCTCCGATCGCCGACAATTCGTCACGTTTGGCGAGCATTCGTTTGAATAACGACAACACCACATGGTGGGGTCGTGCTGCTTCTCGCGTATTCTCGGACGCCTACGACGATGCAAATAAATTATCTTTTTTGTTTAAAGATGATAATGACGCTGGGATGTAAAGGGGTGACTGCTGTGATGTTGTAATGCTTTGACTTTTTGTAGAAAAAATGAAGTTTAAAAAAAAAATATGTCAAAGAGGTTTGTTCGGTAGGCTGCTCCATGTTTCTTAAAAAAAAAAAATGAAAATTTTTAAAAAACAACAAATGTCAAAAAGGTTCGTTCAGTGTTCAGCTGGTACGCAGCTCCATGTTTCTTAAAAAAAAAAATGAAAAATAAAAATCAGTTTAAACAATTTGAAAAATGGACAAATGCCATATAGGTTCATTCAGTGTTTGTCGGGTAGGCTGCTCCCTTATTGAGAAATAAATTAAAAATACAAAACAAATGGAACACATTTGAAAAAAAAAAAATTGTCATAATGGAGCAGCCTACCTGACAAACACTGAATGAACCTATATGGCATTTGTCCATTTTTCAAATTGTTTCAACTTTTTTTTTTTTTTTTTTTTTTTAAGAAACATGGAGCTGCTTACCTACTGAACACCGAACAAACCTTTTTGACATTTGTTATGTTTTTGAAAATAGTTTTTTTTTTTTTAATATGGAGCAGCCTGCCTGACAAACATCAAACGAACCTTTTGCTATACAAAAAATGATAAAAAAAATGAACAAATTTGAAGAAAGAAAACTGTCATAAAGGTTTGTTCAGTGTATGTAAGGTAGGCTGCTCCATTATTTAAGACATCTAATATCATACTGATGTTTTTCGGTAGTAGAACGGATTAATTTGATTTCCATTATTTTAAATGGGGAAATCCGTTTTGAAAGACGAGCATTTCACATAACAAGCTCAGTGCCGGAACAGATTAAATTCGTTATTCGAGGTTCCACTGTATTTAAATTATTAATCATGTCATGCTGCTTTAATTATTGCAAACTTTTGTATAAAAAACAGAAATCATGCTTTATCAAAACAGTACAGTACTATGTATTAATTTCACATAACTATGATTTCAGATTGACTCCGATTACGTTGGTCCACCACCACCCTTAGAAGTCACCATATTTAACATTAATGATAACATTGATCGACAGTTTCTTCATAATGAAATTGTAAGTTTATTTAATGCATAAACATATTTATCCATGTAATGTCTATGTGTAAATTTGTATTCAAAAGTATTTGTTCATTGTTCTTAATCTTCTGTTTTTGATCTCTCTCCTCTCTCTCTCTGCTCATGTATAGTCTATGACATATGTTAGGATGTTCACTTTATGGCTGAATAGTAGAGCAACAAGATACTGTACTAGTAAGATGCATTAACAAGTAGTTGTGAAATGGGGGAGGGGAAATGTAAAAAAAATACCAGCCAAAGGTGTATGTTTTTTCTGCAACGGAAAGGAACTCTGAACAGGTTCCTCACAAAAATCATTGAAATTTAAAGCATTCCCCAATAGACTACAATGGAATTCCCAAGGAATATGTGCAGTTCTTTCCATCAGCCATTTCATGGGAAACCCCCTCTCCCCCCCCCCCTCTCTCCAGTGATGGTGCTATTGGGTGCCATCTGGGATTATTCGGTTGGGCTTGGACTCAAAATATCTTGGTATTTTGCATTGTTTCTCAGGGTCTTTGATGGACTTCTTCCTTCCTGTTACAATGCAGGCCTCATCATACACACTTATGCTCTGCAAAGTAACTTGCAATATATTGCAGGTGTACTCTTCATAGTTTTGATTTATATTTTACCTGTGCCCTCTCAACTGGCACATTCCCTTATCCCACTTTGTACAAACACTATGTTCCAGGTTTGCTAAATATTATCAACCCTCTTATGGATTTTTCTTTGGATTTGCAGGACACATTTTGGTATGCTCTCATTAATCTGAGGGTTCTGTGATTGGTTGAGGTTCACGTGGGTTGTCTTGATCACCATTTTAGGGCTTTACCCCTTTTATCATAGTACAGGAGCTGGAAGTTGTCTTCATTAAACATGCTGTTTTGCATGGTCCATTGAATGACCTGGTTTACTGAGGGTTCCTTATGGAAAATTGCATTTCATTATATTAAGGGCTCTATTCTGCCAGTTAAGTTATACATAAAAAAATTGTTGCTTCAAAATGGAATGAGCTGAGGGAAAAAAGAAAGGTTAATATGGTTATAGGGCATGTCACATTTTTCACCTTCGTTAACCCAGGCCTGTTTAACGATGGTTAATTAAATGCTGAGAGGAGAACGGGCATCAGAATGTGTGTCATGTTGAGTACTGAGTGGCACACAATAAAGGGTAAATTATCAGTTGATAAAGTTTTTTTTCCTCTCCACAAGGGCCGTGATGAGGGTTTTAACCTACGCACTGGATGCTCCCAGCTGCGCTTTAATTAACCATGTCGTGGCACAGTTGACTAAGGTGCAGCTGGGAACATCCCGTGCATAATTTCAAACCATCATCACGGCCCTTGTGGTTTTGTACATCACCATGTTTTTGTATATAGTGTATAGACAAGTGTGTATATAAAAGTGTCAACTTTTATTTAATATATTTCTTATCATATCTATAGGTTAATAAGCACCAGTGTGGCTCTATACAGCATCTGGATATCTTCACACATGAACTCTCTCGAAAACATCTTGGAGTGGCGAGGCTCGTATTTGAGGAGCCAGAATCTGCAAGACATTGTGTCAAGAAGCTTAATAATGCTACTCTTATGGGAAAAGTTCTTCAGGTGTTCCTGGATCCCTTTGGTATGATCTTAACGAGGTGGTGTAGAGTATTGTAATTGGCTCATTAATCTTACAAAAAAATATTTTACTGATAAAATTATTTAAATTATTTCTTTGCCCAAAATGCTGTGTGAACTAGTGTCTTTAGGCATAGTATATACAGTACTTGCTCTATCTAGAAATTCAACATTATGCCTTTAACTCATTTTGTATGTATGTACTTTTCCGTTAATAAAATTGTCATTGTAAATATTTTTGTCATTGTCTCAACTTTCTGATAGTGTGGTTGTGGTTGATATTTTAGTTCCAGCTCTTGTGGCCCATCTGTAATGTTAATTGTCCTATAATTTCTTGAACCTGATGGGCTACAATACAATAAAATACACTGACTTCCCTCTCAAACAAAAAAACGATCCTGTGGAAAAGTTGGATGCAGTGTAAGCATGTAAGCAATGTAAGTTTCCCCCCAGAAACATAAACGCAAGGCAATCACAAAACACTCCCCTCGATAAATATTTAGAGATGCAGAACTACTAAACAAAGATAATAACAACCCAATGTATATCCATTTGACTCTCCCAATACCACCAGGTGCAATTCAATTGAGGCAACCAATTGATACTCTCCTCTTCTGGCTCTCTTTCTCCCTGTCTCTGTTTGATAAATATAGTCTTTACAGAGACCTAAGCCATCATATCCTTACAGCTAAGTTAGCCAGTTTCCCTTTGAATGCACTTTGGACTCCAAATTTATATGTTTCATGAACTTGTATGCAGATCACATTATTTCTGATTACGTTAGTTTACTTTTGCTCATTTTCAGGGTTATTTTTTCTGATTGCACTATTAACCCAATACCCCCAGGCTGTGTTTCCTGAGTCCCTAGTTTATGCACCTCAAGATTTTCCCCTAGGTTATATGCTCTAAGCCCCCACTCCCTTGGGGTCGTGCAGCCTCAGGCCATGGCCATGTGCCCTGAGGGTTCCCACAGTCCTTGTACCCTGAACTTTTCCCCTTCGACTATATGCCCTGTGCCCATCTGGGCTGCGTGCCTTAGGCTTCACTGGATGGATGGTACACTTGGGACATGCACCCTGAGTGCTCCCAGGTCATGCACCCTGAATACCCTCAGGCTGTGTGGCCTGATTGCCCCCAGGCCATGCACCCCTGAGTGCCCCCCAGGCCATTTGCCATGGACCATATGCCCTAAGCTAACCCCCTGGGCCCGGACACCCTGAGCCCCATCCTAACAGGCCATATGTCCTAAGGGCACCCCTTTCCCAGGCCATGTGTCCTGTAGTTTTCCCCTTCCCCCTCTGAGCGCTTATTGATGAGGGAAGCCAGCTGCTCCTGTGGTGCTAACACCTGGTAGTGGTCAGCTGCTACTAATGGGTATGTATGACCTAGCTACTGAGGAAATCATTTGCTGCATTGTTTTTCTTTCAGTAGACCATGCAGTTGTCTGTTTCATTTTGCCTCATTTTTTGGGGAGTTTGATTCTTTGGTGAGGATGATCATGTCTGAATGACATGTCTGAAGATGACCCTGCTACATGCACCTCTGTGAGGGAGGGGTCAGGTTTTAGCCTCTGGTCTCCAGTAGGCTTTGAAGGATTCCCCAGCCCTGGTATGAAACTAAAGTGTGGCTGGCTACAAAGGGCCACTGAGGCTCCACCAGAAAGATGTATCTCATTACAGTAAATGCAGTTTTTCAGAATAAATTCTATAAATTTAGTAAAGTCTGCTGATTTGTGCATTGTATGACAATTGTATCAACATTGGTTAAAAAATCTAAAAATGGTGTTTTGAGATTTGAATTTTTCTGGCAAAAATACAGCATCATAAATCTTCAATTTATTCATGAAGATAACTTCTTACAATACAAGAAGACATGGCAGGAAGTGCAAAATAGCCATGTTAAAAACCAGAGGTGCAATAGGTATGCTAAAAGGCAATTTTACTAATATCAAGGGTCCAAAACCTTTCAACACTCACTGTAGAGAGTGAGAAGTCAGCTAGTTATGTCCCTTCTGTATATACAAGGCATGACTAGCTGACCTCTCATGGTGTTTTAAGGGAGAACCTGATATTCACCTCCAAAGACTAAATGATCAACCTGCCTGTGATTTCCATGTCATACTGCGAAGAGCGGCTTCTTGTCCACTTGGTCGACCTGACTACCAACCAGAAGGCCTGGGATCAGATTCACGAAGAAGTTATGCAAGTACTTACGAACCTGTACATCTTTTCTCAATCTTTGGCGGCTTTGTTTACAAATATTAACATCAAAAAGTGTATACTCGTTTCAGTTTTGTCTCCTTAATTCTTGTGCTACGTCATTTGTTTTGGTATCATTGTGTTCGCAATAGAATTCCCTAAAGGGGTATGTGCATACAAGGTCCAAAAGCCCGTCGTAACTCCCCACAGCAAAGCCTGAAGTCCGCAAAGTTACCCATGAGCGCACAAAATCAGTAAAATGTGTATACTTGTTTCAGTTTTCTCACCTTATTTCTCGTGCTATGTCATTTGTTTTGGTATCATTGTGTTCGCAATAGAATTCTTTACAGTGTATATGCATATAAGATCTAAAAGCCTGGCGTGACTCCCGACAGCAAAGCCTAAAGTCGGCCAAGTTACCCATGAACGAGCACCAATTGGCACACCTACAGATTAATGTATATACTCGTTCAGTTTGATAACATAAATTTTTGTGTTACATGTTTCATTTTGGTATCAAATTGTTCGCAAAATAAAGGCGCGTATTTTAAAACTAGTCCCATAATAATAGAACAATAAATGGAATTTTAACAAGTATTTTAACTTTTGGACGCTCATCACCACAAAATTATTTATATATTTCCAGTGTTCTGACACCAATTTTCGTGTTAGGTCTTTCATTTTGGTATCAAATTGTTTGCAATATAAAGGCACATATTTTAAAACTAGTCCCATAATAATAGAACAATAAATGGAATGTTAAATATTTTAACTTTTGGACACTTTTTGACGGTCATCACCCCAAAATTATTTATCTCTTTCCAGTGTTCTGACATCAATTTTCGTGTTACATCTTTCATTTTGGTATCAAATTGCGTGCAATCTAAAGGTGCTCATTTTGAAATCACCCAGAAGTTGATCGGATACAAATTTATTTTTTTACAAATATTTTAATACATGATGCGAGCCATAGTCACTCGCTCAGAATCGGAAGAAAAATGAGTGACGACGGGTGGCGGCAACGGAGTGCTATAGTGTTACAGTTAATGAGCTCCGAAGCACCAGGAAGGCTGTTTATAACAATAACAACAGTTGATTGGGAAGTTTTCATACTTGTAAACTGTTTAATAATTGTAACCAAAGCCGTCAAAGATTGATGAAAGATGTATACGTTCGTAAGTACTTGCGTAACTGCTTTGTGAATCTGGCCCCTGGTATACTAGGCGGTAGGGACATTGATCCCCAGAACCATCACAAGGTAGACACAAGGCAAGGTAGAACTGACTTTGTAGTAGTCACTGTTTGATAAGCATGACCACCACCCCTGATACACTGCAGGAAAACACTCCCAGTTAACCAATTATGATTATAATAATTAGACACAGGGTAATAAAAGTGAGATATGCCTGGTGTAAAGACTGGGAAAATATATCCGTTAATCAGATATGATCAGAATGTCTAGTTGTATTGTTGATCTTGTTATTATTGTTATTATTATTTTCATTATAATATTAATAATTGCTCTGAATTCATAAACAACAGGGGAGGAGTGTAAAAAGCGTGTGGCAGAGGTTGGACAGTTGTTGGAGGAAGAGGCCAAGAGGGATGAAGAGGCTAAGGAAGCCAAGAAAAGACCACCACCATCTACCAAACCCCCTCCTCCTGCTTCAGATGATGACAGTCAATCCAGTAGAGAAAGAGAAAGACGAAACACTGAGAAAGAGTTTGACCGTAATAGGTAAGAGTCTTTATAAAAACTGCAGTGCTGCTCTTATTCCCAGAGAGAAACTGTTGTGTGGTGGAATACACAAAGTACCCTGCAACACACACAACGTAACAGTCCCTATTGTTACCTTATTACAACTTGTTACAAAGCTGTTACATCTTCTCATGAAGTTTTTATGGCATTTTATTATGGCGCATTTATGGCGTTTTTAGGGGAGCCGGTTGGCCAAGCGGACAGCGCGCTGGGCTTGTAATCCTGTGGTCCTGCGTTCGATCCCAGGCGCTGGCGAGAAACAATGGGCAGAGTTTCTTTCACCATATGCCCCTGTTACCTAGCAGTAAAATAGGTACCTGGGTGTTAGTCAGCTGTCACGGGCTGCTTCCTGGGGGTGGAGGCCTGGTCTAGGACTGGGCCGCAGGGACACTAAAAAGCCCCGAAATCATCTCAAGATAACCTCAAGATAGCATGCTAGAAAGTTGTTACAACTTGCTATATATTTGTTACTACTTGTTAGAAGGTGTTACAAGTTGTTCGAATGTTGTAGCAACATTGTAGTTTTGTCATGTGTTTGGCGGGTATTGCTTTTGGCAGCATTATTCTTGCAAATTAATAGAAAACTTTAGTCAGTCATTTTATCTAATTAGTACAGTTGTTTAAATGTGTAATTTAGTATACAGTATATGTTTTGGTAAAAAAAAATTCTAGGACTGATATTGATATTTTCTCAGATATTTATATAATTTTATTAGTTATTAGCTGCAGGTTGTCTATTGCTTTGGTTTGGGAAGTTAAGGACATATTGCCATGGGAAGTGCAAGAGATGTACTAAATGTCTCAAATGAAATGGTAGTTATTGTATTTCTCCTTGCGGCAGTTTATATAACTTGTTATTGGCTTCATGCTCATGTTTATACCCTAACAGTGCTTTATTGGAAAAATAAATTGTATTTATTACATGTGTAATGGTATCTTACAATGTGCCTTTGAATGGCAGTTAGTTTATAATTAATTCAGGAAAAATTGTTCTGAAAGCTGCAGGCTAATGTGATCAATACGGTATCTAGGGGTTGTTTTATTTTATTACTTGCCTTTTATTCTTTTCCAGGTATGAAGAAAGTAGAAAGCCTAGCTGTAGTGTTATCCAGACACCTTCCTCCTCTGTCAACTCAACAGTACCTGCTGCATTCTACCAAGAGCAGAGACAGCCTCAATATGCATATCAACAGCAGAACTTTGCAAGTTATGAACAACAGTATCACCATTATCAGGGCTACCAATATCAAGAGTTCAGAGGAACGTAAGTTTTTCTATTTAAAAATTGGTTGATATATTTTCTAAGGGAAGCCCCTTGTGGCTCTTTGAAACTATCACTGATAGTGTACTACTACTTGGTCGCATGTGCCGCAATGTTCTATCAGCTTACTGGAGACAAGGACCAGAACTTGGTCTAGTCACAGACGCAGGGAGCAGTGACATTTATTTATTTGTCACCACTGGGGAAGCAACCAAAGAGTCAGAAAGACAAAACAGACTACTGCTGGCTTCAACAAATACCTCAGCCTCTAAAACCACTGAAAGAGCTCCCTCAACTATGTATACAAATGGTCAAAATCTCTCAAAACTAGCACAAGCTCATTCGCCCCACTTCCTTCACTTGTTTGGGGGAAGGAGGAAGATAGCTTTTGGTCAGCCAGCTGCTCCAGCCTCAGTTATGCTGATGTGCAGTGTGTGCCAGGTCACACCTCTGCTGCTCAAGCTCCAGTGTCTTGGGTCAAGTACGTGGTGGTTTCTGGGGGAGCCCCGTCGGCTTCCCAGAGCTGATATGTAACTACTGTATTAGCTTTCTAGTATTAGTTTAAAGTGCATGGAGTTCTTGCCTACCAGGGACCACGTGCCAGAACCTGGCCCCCTCAAAGAGGCACGAGAAGCAATAACCTATAGAAACCCTCGTGTAGTTGTGAGCATTCTATGTCTGCCATCGACCGGGTCTGGCATCCAGAAAGATAGGAGCCCAAAACAAACACCTATTCTGGTGAAAATATTGCTACCGAAACCCGAACGAGTGGACAGAACTCCCAAAACAAAAATTAGCAAATGAGCATGACATCATCATGTTGCCACGTCACTGTCTGCACAACCCCCCCATCCCACCTGGCCTCATATCTCAGGTGGATTTCCCGCCTGTTTCTGGTCCTGAAATGGGACTGTGCGGACCTCCGGTTCATTCTGGACTTATCCCGTCTGAACGTGTGGGTTTATTGCTCCTCCTTTCGGATGACTACTCTGTCCCAGGTCCATCTTCTGTTGGAGCCGGCAGCTTGGATGGTTTCTTTGGACCTAAAGAACGCGTATTGGCACGTCCCGATTCATCCAAGTTTCAGGGAATGGCTCGGTTTTGTTGTAGGGTGTCAAGTTTACCCTTTCTTTGCCTTCCATTCGGCTTGAATCTCGCATTTTCACACACCTTACTCGGGTCGTGATGGCCGGCCCAGACTTGGTTTCAGGCGCTGCTTGCTCAGTGTCCAAACCCAAGGGTCTTCCCACAGCTCTGCCTCTTTCAGCAGATCGGTCCAGCCCAGTACAAGACTGGTTTGTTCTCCTCGAGTCTTCGCGTCTGGAGTTTCTGACTTGAGTCCATCATCAGTTGTAAGGGGCGCAGGTGGCTTCGTTGGTCTCCCTCCTGCGTGCTTCATCTCGGAGGCAGTATAAAGTTTCCTGGCGGTCGTTCCGGTTTTTTCTATCACTGCATAGGTGTACTTCGGTCTCTGATAGGTTTGTCTTGTCCTTCTTTTCGTGGTTGTTCCAGGACCGTCATCTTATGCCGAATACTATCGCCTCAATCGTGCGGCGCTGGCTGAGCCACTCCAGCTTGCGTTCGGTATTGATATTACTTTTGCCCCATTCCACAAGCTGTCTCGTGCATTGTTTCACCTCCGGCCTGCTCATGCGCCACTTGAGCCATCCTGGTCTTTAGACTGGGTTCTCTTTTCCTTCTCTTTTCCTCGGTTTGTCGTAGCCACTTCAGTTCAGGATTATTTTTCTAAGGCCCTTTTCCTGTTGGCATTGGTCTCTGGGGCTCCTGTCAGGGAGCTAAATACTCTCCTCCGGCGCAGGAGTTTCTGCTCTTACGGTCCTGGTGGTAGGTTTGTTCGTTTGCAGTCGTCTCCTCCTTTTCTGGTGAAGAATGAGACTGATGCTTTCCGGAGGGGTCCTTGGGTTGTTGATGCTTCGTTGGACAGGTCAGGGGTGCATCATGTGTTGTGTCCGGTTGTGGCTCTCCGCCATTATTTGCGAGCCACGGCATCGGTGGCTGGGGATGCGCTTCGGGTTGACCTGGTTTCCCTCCTTCCTTGTTCCCGGGCTCAAATCTCCCAGGTTGTCCACAGGATTATTAAGTCTAGCCAGCCTGCGGTCTGTCCCCGTGCCCATGACTTTTGTAAGTTTGCTGCTGTGGCTGCCGTCTTTGGCACGTGTCTTGGGATGACATTCGGCCACAGGGTTTTTGGAGGTCGAACAGGGTCCTGGCCACACGTTACCTTGTCAGTGTCTCTGGACCTGGTAGGGCCTGCGTTGCATTGGGTTGGCGGTTGCAACCAGTTGTCTCGACTTCGTGTTGAGAAGTGAAGACCGCCTCCCGGGTAAGTCTCTGTGTTTTTCCTTGTCTTTGGGTAGTTAGCTCTGGGAAGCCGACGGGGCTCCCCCCAGAAAACCAGCGTTGAATGTAATGAAACACCATTTTCTGGGTGAGATCTGGAGGCTCCTCGGCATCCCTCCCTCCTTCCGGTTGGCACTGTTTTGCGTGTTTTTGACATCCAGCCTAAGAACTACCGGTTGGATCGCCGGTGCAAAGGGTTTGGGGCTTCCCCTCCCCCCTCCTGGGGAGGGGAGTTGCATAGACAACAGCATGGCATTGTGATGACGTCGTGCTCATTTGCTAATTTTCATTTGGGTAGTACTGTCCACTCGTTCGGCTTTTGGCAGCAATACTTTCACAAGAATAGGGGTTTGTTTTGGGGCGCCTATCTTTCTGGGTGCCAGACCCGGTCGATGGCAGACATGGAATGCTCCCAACCACACAGAGTTTTCTATAGGCCATTGCTACTCATGCCACTCTGAGGGGGCCAGGATCTGTCTCGTGGTCCCCAGTAGGAAAGTACTCCATGCACTTTGGTCCATGCAGTTACATGTCAGCCTGGATAGCTCCAGGGAGCCTCCAGGTCTCACCCAGAAAAAGGCGTTTCATTACATTCAACGCTGTTTTTTTTTCCTTTGTTGGCATTCCGGTACACTGTTCATTCGGTCGTGGGTCTCTTTCGGCTCCCTGCCCGAGTCCCCTTCTCGGCAGTGCCTGTGGCAGTTGGCTTTCAGGCTATCTGCTCTGGGTTCCATTGTGAACTTCTAAATCTCCTGGGGCTTATTTTGATTATTTCCAGGGGGGGTCCATTCAGGAGATTGGCAATGGGGGAAGAGCCACATGAAGGGAGGTCTTGGCCTCTGCTGTGGCAGCTTTGCCTGGGGCCTTCTGAGCTCCAGGATGTGGTGGCCACTTTCTTCACCACCAGAGTTGCTTAGCCACAGGCTGCAGTGTGGTTGGTTGGTTCCTCACCCTTCTCAGGGTTCAGATCCTCCTGGTGAGCTCCTGTCCTGGGCCTTTTGCAGCTGGATCGGTTCATTCCTTGCCCCTTGTTTTGGGTTCCCTTTCTGTCCTAAATCCATCATATTCTCAAGGCAGTTATTTTGTTTTCTCCCTGGGTTTCTGGGGCATGTCTTGGTTCATTCCTATACCCCCCCCCCCCCCCCCCCAAAAAAAAAGTAAGGGAGGTGGGGTGAATGAGCTCGTGCTATTTCTGAGTGAATTCATTTGTTTGTTTACATAGTTTGGGGAGTTCTTTAGGTGGGTTTTGAGGTGTTGGTCTCTTTTGAAGCCATTGGTGGTTTCTTTTGACTCGCTGACTTACTGGTTGCCTTCCCAGTAAGGTGACAAAAATAATTGTCACCGTTCCGTGCACCTCTTTGGGTGTGCCACGTTCTGGCTCTGGTCCCCGTTAGGCCCATAGAACTCCACAGCTGTTGGGTCCTAGTAGATAGTACCATCTCAGCATATATTGTAGTAGCTTCAGGAAGCCACCGAGACTCACCCAGAAATTGGCATTTCATTACATTCAATGCTGATATTTTTGTCTCTTCTAGTGCTTCTGTGCCTATTTTTTAGAGGAAATAATTTTGGTTTGCAATATCTATCAGTTCTTTTCCAGGTTATTTCTGTGAGATTTTTATTTATTAGTTACCAGTTAATATCTCTATTATTAAAATTGAATTTGCAGAAATCTCCTCCTCTTGGATTTGAGACTGGCTGTGAAGGTCTATTGCTCGTGCTTGTCTGAACTTTGATTAGGATGTAATCTGAGTAACATGTATTTGTAATCATTATGTTCCTAACTAGTTCATAATTTATTGTAAAAATAATGTCTATGGTGTTTTCTAGGTGGTTCTACTATTTGCTGGTTTAAGGGAAATCTGTCATATCCATAAGAGGTCATTTGTGTGACTTTTCATTTAACCTGCTTTACTGGGATTCTCTCTAATATAACTGTAGAGTATTTGCCATATTCTTTCATTTTAGGTGCTGTAAGAAGAATTCATTAAGCAAGATGAGGTGTGGGGCTGGGTTTATGAAGTTTTCCAAGCAGTATTCTATTTTCATTAGTTGATCTGTAAATTGCCGAGACTCTGCATCTGGTGGTATATGTGTAAATGGGCAATAACCATATTTAGGATTTTTTTATTATTATTATTATCAGCACATGCTCCATATCATTTGTGGTGTTTAGCAGCACAGTGTAGATGCGTGTCTTAGAAGTAGAGCCTAGCCCCACCCTTTAAGCCTGTGTTTCCTATCACATTTAAAAAGATTGTTCTGTACTCCAGTATCCATATTTCACTTAATGTTGGCTCAAGGAAATTTAATTCTTCAAATTATATAAATTTTAATTCATTAATTTGTCAGTTATTGTTCTTTATCATATTCTATGTGAATTAAGGGAATAGATTAAAATGTACAATTCTTGGGAATTAATTGTTTAAAAAAGTGGCAAGGAACCCACAAATGCTCTAGGTTCATTACATTGTTGTTAACGCAGCATATGGCATAATAATTAATTCTCATTTTACAGGTTTCCTACAAGTGTTCAAGCATCTCACCACTGGAATACAGCAGGTACTACTGCTGCAGCAGCTGCTGCTGCTGCCGCTGTTGCTGCTGCCGCCGCTGCAACTGCTGCTGCTGCTCCTCCACCTCCACAGCCATGGTCAGCTCACCCATCAAGTCATGTCACAGCGCATGCACCACCACCTGACCATCACACAGCCAATTCACGGCAATCCTGGGATACATCTCGATACCATTCCCTTGAATATCAACGCAATTCTCACAATGACAGTCCTTTCGAAAATAAGACTGTTGCTGGGAGATCAAAACTTGATGACAGACTTGAAAACATTGAACCTGCTCTTAATTGCAAACCTAAACATGAATCAGAGGAGGAGGAAGACAAATCCAATTTGGATTTGGACACAAGAATTGCCATGCTGCTCCAAAATAAAGCGCCTACATTCCTTGCTCTTGGGTTGGGAAGTGATGAAGAGGAGGAGAAAAAAGAGGGTGCAAATCAAGAGGAGAAGAAAGTGAAAGACAAGGAATCTAGTGTTCAAACAACTTCCAGTAGTAGTGTTTCTAATTCAGATGTAGAGTCCTCCTCAGACACAGGAAGTGAGAGTGAAGTTGGGGAAGGCTCGAAAGACTCTAGTGGGGGAGAGGGTAAATCTAAATGGGCTATGCTTGAAAACATTTTGGAACCGTTATCAACTCCACCGTCTCCATTTATTTCAAATGAAATGTATATATATTGGCATGAAAAGGGAAATGAACTAAAAATGGAGGCGCAGAGAAGAGAAAGAGAGGAAAATAGGGAAAGATTAAAAAAGTTAAAGAGAAAGAAAGTTAAAAAAAAAGATAAAGAAAGAAAAGATAATGTTAGTAATAAAGATGTAAAAAGTGAAGTGAAAACAGAACCTGTGTTAGAAGAGAGTCAAGTGAATGGAATAGATGATGATAGAATGAGTTTATCTAGTTTAAGTTCAACTGAAGACCCAATTTTACATCAAGATGTGCCCATACCTCCAGCAGGAACTACTGTAGGCACTAATGGTGCAGCTTTTACGGTTCCTCCGCCTGGCTATTCCCATTATGGGCCTCCGCCTGGATACCCTCCATCTTACCTCCCACCTGGATATGCACCTCCAACAATACCACAAGAAGCTACATATGCGTGGCAACCTCCCCCTGGTTATACTCATAACTTTGTTTCAGGGTATCCAGGATATAATCCAGGATATATGGCTCTTCCGCCTGGTTACTCGTCCATTACTCAACCACCACCAGGGACGAGTATACCAGGTCAAACCCCTTATCCTCCATATTTTGGTGCTGGTTACCCAGCGTCTCAAGATCACAGTGATTCTACTCACAAAAGTGGGCAGTATCACGACCCAACGATAAAGTAAGTGAGCATTTCATATGTGATTTCTACTTTGTTTATTTTTTTCAGATATACAGTATATATTTAAGCTTAGCTTTTGCCGCTTTTATAAAATTTAAGTAAATTTTATTGCATATTGTGAGCAGTGTAACCACAGAAGGTGAGTTTGTATAAAATTGTTGCCGGAGAAATTTAAGGAATCGTCAAAGCTTACCGTGGAATAAAGGCTTTTGTGTCTTTCCATGCCAAATCATCACAAAAAATAGTGTAGTTTTCAACCTGTCTTAGATTTACATTAAATTTTTTGAATGGTAGAGGACATGAAGTAACTTATGCAAAATTTTATCGCACAGTGATGCAACTTATTTATACAGCAGGGTTACCAATGTGAAAGAATACAACATTTTTACTTACGTTCATGCTCAGCAAAAATTCATAACATTGCTTCAAATTGCGGTAGAACCTTGATATTGTTCTTGTTTTGAAGGTAAGGAAACAAAGTTTTAACATATTAAAAATAATTTTTCAGTGACTTGAATTTTTTTCATTTTAAGATCACATTATGCACCATTGACTTTGAATACAATATAAAAAAGGGTAGCTTTAATTTTGTTTCTATTAATATATATATAAATATGTTGTACCTGTACAGTTAAAGGCAGTCTACAGTCTCTCTCTCTTGTATAAATTTCATTTTTGGATGGCATTGGGAATAAGAGTAAAAAGGATTTTGAAAGTTGAATATCTCACATTCAGTTAAATATTTTAGCAGTTGTTTATGGAAATTATCATATTGGAGAATGAAATATAATGTCATACACAATTTTGAAGAAAACTAAAAACATAATAGGTTGGGGGCCTTCTTCTCTGCAGTGTTTCTTCTGAGTGCAAGTGTCTGCAGTAGTTAACACTTTCACGACCCACGGCATGCGCGCCCCAGCCAACCCCAAGGTGGGCCGAGCATTTCATGTGAGCGCGTACCCACTCTAAAATGTGTCTACTCTTTTCAGTTTTCTCACCTCAATTTGCGTGGTACATCATTTATTTTGGTATCAAATTATTCGCAATAGAATTCCCTAAAGGGATATATGCATATAAGGTCAAAAAGCCCAGCATGCCACCCCGCACCAAACCAAAAAAAATGGTCGAGTGTTACCCGTGAGCGCGCAACTGCACTGAAATGTGTGTACTCTTTTCAGTTTTCAGTTTCTCTCCTCAATTCTTGTGCTACGTCGTTCATTTTGGTATAAATTTGTTCGCAATAGAGTTCTCTACATGGGTACGTGCATATAAGGTCCAAAAAGCCCCCCCTCCCCCAGGCAGTAAAGCTGAAAGTCGGCCAAGCGTTATTCGTGACCGAGCACCTTTGACACACCCAGAACACCTGCACACAAATGTGTCTACTCTTTTCAGTTTGATAACATCAATTTTCATGTTATGTCGTTCATTTTGGTATCAAGGTGTTTGCAATCTAAAGGTGCACATTTTAAAATTAGTATCATAATACTGTAATCGAACAATAAATGGAATTTTAACAAACATTTTAATTATGGACGCTCATCCCCACACAAGTATTTTGACCTCAGTTGTCTTGCTACATCATTCATTATGGTATCAAAGTTTTTGCATTCTACAGGCGCGCATTTTAAAATTAGTCCCATAATAATTGAACAATAAATTGAATTTTAACAAATATTTTAATTTTGGATGCAAAATACGTCCCCGACGGACATCCGTAAGATTATTAATGGACGCAAACTGCGTCGTCGCCGGATGAAAGTGTTAATGTGTAAGCTCACCCAGTTGCAGTACATGGATCATCCTTAGTGAGATCTTGTTCAATTGCAACGTTTAATATGTCTGGCTCTTTTACTAGTTGCTTAGCTTTAATGTATCATAGTGTTACTTCTTAGTTTCAAAACAAGCCAAACATGATTCAACCTCCAATTTGTAACAAAATTATAATTATTTTTGTTGAGCTTATAAACACAAATGTTGTATTTTTATTACATTGGAAATTCCCTGCTGTAGGAATATCATGCATCTTTGAGGACTAAAGTGTGTGTGTGTGTGTTACTTAATGTTCTCTATCATCCTACTAAATTTCATGTATGTATGAGACTGTCGAGTTGAGAGCTGTGATAATTTGGCATGGAATAATCCTTCCCTTCCTTCACGAAAGTTGTAGCCTAGTTAAGACTGGCTCTTTAGTGCAACCTCTCGAGGATGGAACTGACTTGGAGGGTAGCTATAGTTCTTCATATTTTAGATACTAGTGCTTTTGCTTGAATTGTAAAGTCCTGTGATGCATTTTAAATCTTAATGTACAGTAGTTGAAATTTCTTACAGGGTGGTGATGTATATATAATTTTTTAATTAAAATTTGGGTGCTAAGATACAAATGTTGTCAGTGTTCTCTGGAATATACTACTCCAGTCTATGCTCACACTAATGACAAGTATAATTGGTAGCAAAGAAAATAAAACAAAAACTACCGGAGAACTTTTTAGTAGCTGACTAATAATAATAATAATAATTATAATAATAGTGACTGAAATGATTATTAAAAGCTGGTGCTTTTGTTGAAGATAAGATAGAAATGGAAAATAATTACACGATATGTACCCAGTAAGGATTAGGGTATTATCTCATTAGTGTTATTGATTCCTGGTACACTCATGTATGGGGTCAGGTTCTTATCTTCAGATTATCTTCAGTTATCTTATCTTCAGATAAGATAATTAGGGTCAATGGGCTTTCTGCAGTTTTTTTCTTAAGTTTGTGAATAAAGACATTGTTTTTCACCTCACCTCATCTCATTCATGCCTATATATCCACCACTTGACTTGTAATACCCATCCTTCTGAAGATCTATCAATAAATACAAAAGTACTTAAGGAATTTCTATGTATGTAATTCCCTTAAGTACTTACATAGTTAGATTTAGGTGGACCACCTAACTCATAGTTAGAAATTTGTAAGTTAAGGTCTTAGCTGGCAGGTAGAGTAGGCTGTCCTCGGCATGTGGTCAACAATATGGCTGCTGCTACTGCATCCTTTCAGTAGATGAACTCATGGTAGCAAAGTCGGTATTAGATTGGAGTCAAATTTATATTTACTGGGTAATTTATTCAAGTTATCTCATGTGTAAATGAATATAGTAGGTTTAGTCTCTTACATAATATATTTGTTTTGTCTTGCCTCATAACTGTGTTCACCCACTCCTTGTTCCTCCATACATGTATACTATCGCCACAATATCTACACAACAGGATAAGAACGGGGTGTCACTTAGTTAAAGCTGTAGTGTGAGATGGGCACGACCAGATTTTGTAGTCGTGACGATCAGAACAACAGCCGAGCTGGGGAAACTCACTTCTTTAGGGCTGCATAAGACCGGCTTGTCCTGAACACGTCATGTATTAGTCGCCAGGCTCACGAACGGTCGCCTAGGCCTTCCTTCCCATGCCACCTCCAGAGTCAAGGAGAATCTTTCATATTATTGTATTTATTTGGAGCCTTAAATTCTATCTTTTTATAAATTTGAAATAATATCAATTAAATTAGTCCTCTAAGAACTGGTTATTTGTTTTAATCATACTTTATAAGAAGCAATTGGAGATATATTCAGTGTTCTAATTGTATATTATGGTGTGTGAAAAGGGCCAGAGTTGCATCTCCCAGCCTTTGTGGTTAGGCATCATTGCATAAATATGTACTTATATATTGCATATTAATTTGTTAATTAAACATGAACAGAGTTCCTCTCAAATATTTATTTTTAATATTTTATGATTAAATGTTATTAAAATTATATATTTCCCACATCTAAATATTCTACACATCTAGGTCCACTCCGATCTAAACATATATAGGCCTAGTCATAGTTTTTGTTTACAATATACAGTACTGTATTAGTATTAAATCTGTCCAATTCTTTGCCCTGGATCAAAATTCCAACAAAATAATAATAATCATAATTATTATCATACTAAACATCTATTTTAATACCAGTATTAATATTTTTTCTCTTTTCAGTGCAGTGCTTGACACTGTTATTGAAGAATTAAAGAATATTCTTAAACGCGATTTTAACAAGAGAATGATTGAAGCAACGGCTTTCAAAACATTCGAGGCTTGGTGGGATGAACAGGAAAGAAAGTTCAAGGTATATTTATACAAAGTATTAGTTTTTTGCAAGTCATACAATGTAGCTATATAGCAATATGTATTACATACTTAAACATTGTAATTACTAACTAAGAAAAGCTGACAAAGTTCTATAGAATGCTCTCATCCTAAAATAAATAAATAAATATATATATATTTATTTATTTATTTACCAATTAGTTTTGTATAAATATACAGTATATATATTTTCTTTGTATGCTTCACTCCAGCATACAAATTTGTTACGATGGCAGTACTGTATTTTTTCTTTCTTTCTCATGGAGAGTGAGGGATGTTATGAAAACTAATCCAAGCTTTTCAGGAACCTCAAAAATTAAAGATCCTCCTTCCAGGAACACTTAAAATATTTATTAAATATTTCTGTATACTCCTTTGACTTGGTGAAGCAGTTGCCACTTGCCCATACTGAGAAGAAAAGGATGTGTTAAGGGTGTATTACATTAGCAAGTTTTTTTGTGAAAAAGTTTAATCCAGTGGGGAGCCGGTCAGCTGAGCGGACAGCACGCTGGACTTGTGATCCTGTGGTCCCGGATTCGATCCCGGACACTGTATATACTGTACTGTATTGTAGAATAAGAGATTGACTGAGATTTTCAGAGTACTACATGACTTAAAGTCTAAGATGATATCCTAAATCTGAGATGATCTGCTAAGTCTAAGATGATCTATTGTATTATGTCACAATGCTGTTTTGTCCCACTACCACCCCCTGTCGTTCACTACCATCTTTGGCACGTCTCCATACACACCGTCCTACCACTGCCACCTACACTTCACCCTCTCTCCTTATGAATGTCAAAATCTTCAAAAAAATGTTCTGTTCAGAGGAAGGTTGCATTTTATTAGAATATTCATGATATTGTGTGTATTTTAAGATGCGCCTGGCATAGGAGATAGGAGGATACCTTCCTCAATTTGCTGGGCCTTTGATCCAAATAAAACTCTTAGACCTTTTATAATTTTCAGGCCCAAGCAGCGGAAAAAGAAACCAATTCAGAGATAGCTGGCCCACAAGCCCGGATAGAGAAAATTAATTCTATATCTACATTGCTGGAGACAAGAGAAGGCTTTGGACTTGATTCTTTGGGTTCTTTAGGCCTTGGTTTCCGAGCAGCAATGCCAAAAATGCCTTCATTTAGAAAAATTGTAAGTTTGTATTATTAACAGTGAGTTATGTTCATAACATGTAATTTTAATTAAAATACTGTACTTTCCTCAGTAAAAACATGAAGAATATCTAGAGAATTGTTAAAAAACTTGGTTTGTTATCTTAATTATCTATTTATAGTTTATCATCCTTTAAGGCTCATATTCGGTGGTTTTTGTTGCAGCGTAAAATTAAGCCGCCCTCTCCACCGTGTATGGATGAAGATAGTCGAGGAATGGGTTCAGATGAAGACAGTAAGCAGTCGAGACAAAAAGCAGAGGAGTCATCAGATTCCGACTCTGGCCCTGACGACCTTCTTCCTGTACCAATCACCAAGCCATCACCTTCGGTAAAGAGAAAACCGAAGTGGTCATCCGGCGACTCAGGTTAGCATGTTTTTATCAATCTGCCATGACTGTACTTCCTCTCCATCCATATGGACAGGATGGAGTTTTTCAAGAGTTTATTGTAAGTGAGGGAGTGAAATTTGCCTGTATTGTGCTAGAGACTGGGACAAGAAGTGCTGCATACCTCTGTTAGAGTACAATCACTGGTTTTATTTGATTTATTTTTTCTGGGGGGGGGAGCCTCATCGGCTCCCTGGAGCTATCCAGGCTGAATGGATATGTTTAACTTTCTGGCATCAGTCAAGTGCATGGAGTTCTTGCCTACTGGGGACCATGAGCCAGAACCTGGCCCCCCTCAGAAGAGGCATGAGGAGCAATGGCCTATAGAGGCAGAATGGGACCATTCTGTCTGCCATCGACCGGGATAGGCACCCAGAAAGGTAGGCACCCCAAAACAAACCCCTAATCTGGTAAAACTATTGCTACCGAAAGCCAAATAAGCAGATAGAACACCCTAAACGAAAATTAGCAAACGAGCATGCCATCATCATCATGTCACCGCGTCGCTGTATATGCAACCCCTCCCACCAAGGGGGAGCCCCAGACCCACCCATCGGCGACCCAACCTTCAGTTCTTGACTGATGGAAGTCTGGTGCAGTCGTGCCTCTGACTCCGTACTTTGTCTCAATTCTGTGCCATGTGATGTGGGCTGTCTCTTCAGGTGGTGCGTGAGCCAGGAAAAGTATTCCATGGTACTCGGGCCGCATGCGCCTAGGGTTCCCTTCCCTAGGTGTCCTGTAAGTACTGCCCTTGGGGCTTAGGGCCTCCTTCCACAAGTCACCTTGGGGTCCGCTGGTGTTTTTTCTTGCACTTGTTTGTCTCTGGGCAGGGAATAGTTTTCGTTACTGGCAGGAGCGCGGGGTATTGCACAGCTAATTTTCACCCATAACAGCGGCCGGCTTTGTTCCGCCTTGGAACGTTGTCTTGTGGGGGTTTTCTTTTGTTTTTGTTTTGTCTGCCTTGTAGTTCCCCTTTGCGGTTCTAGGGGCTGTATATATATATTCTGTTTTTGGTGGTACTTCCCACTTGGCCCCCGTGAGTGGACACGTCCCGGGGGGTTCGGCTTTAAAAGTTTGGTTGGTAGACTTGGGCGCTGGCTTGCAGTACCCTGCCTAGGCTTCCCTTAGCGTGTAACCAAGGCTAAGGACCCTGGGAAACCCCATGGGGGCTACACGGTCAGATGGAGGTGACCCCTAAGTCCCCTCTCGCATCTTGTGAATTTGAAAGTTGCTCTGTCCCTTTGTCTCAGGGTGACACTCACCGGTTGTGCCTCCGCCATGCTGCCTGTTGGGTCACTGATTGTTTTGACCCGAAGTTGTGCGAAGTGTGTTGTCTATACGTGCTCCAGTTCACCCAAGCCATTAATTATGATATGTGGGTGCTTTCAGCTGTGGCGTTGCATGCTAGATTTAGGTTGCTTCAACGTGTTAGGTTGTCCGGTTTGAGGCTCTCCACTGTTATTTGCGTGCCACAGCCTCGTTGGCCAGGATGCGCTTTGGGTTGACCCGGTTTCCCTTCTTCCCTATTCTCAGGTTTCTCAGGTTGTCTGCAGAGTTAAGTCTAGCCAGCCTGCGGTCTATCCCTGGGCCCACGACGTTCGTAAGTTTGCTGCATTGGCTTCCGTCTTTGTCAACATGTCTTGGGTTGACATTCAGGCACAGGGTTTTTGGAGGTTGAACAGGGTCCTGGCCACTTGCTACCTTGTGAATGTCCCTGGGCCTAGTAGGGCCTGCTTTGCAATGGGTCGGCGGTTGCAGCCAGTTGTCTTGACTTCGTGTTGAAGGGTGAGGATGGACTGCCTCCTGGGTAAGTCCCTGTTTTTCCTTGTCTGTGAGTAGTTAGCTCCGAGGAACCGACGGGGCTGCCCCCAGAAAACCAGCGTTGAATGTAATGAAACGCCATTTTCTGGGTGAGTACCTGAGGCTCCCTGGCATCCCTCCCTCCCTCCGGTCAGCGGTGTTTTTTGCATCTTTTGGCATCCAGCCTAAGCACTGAAGGTTGGGTCGCCGGCGGGTGGGTCTACGGCTTCCCCCCTTCCCCCTCCCAGGGCGGGGGAGGTTGCGCAGACAGCAGCATGGCGACATGATGACGTCATACTTGTTTGCTAATTTTCGTTTGGGGAGTTCTGTCCACTTGTTCGGCTTTTGGTAGCAGTAGTTTTACCAGAATAGGGGTTTGTTTTGGGACGCCTACCTTTCTGGGTGCCTATCCCTGTCGATGGCAGACATAGAATGCTCCCAACCATAGGGGGTCTCTATAGGCTATTGATCCTCGTGCCTCTTCTGAGGGGGGCCAGGTTCTAACTCGTTGTCCCCGGTAGGCATGAACTCCATGCACTTGACTGATGCCAGAAAGTTAAACATATTCATTCAGCCTGGATAGCTCCGGGGAGCTGACGGGACTCACCCAGAAAATGGCATTTCATTACATTCAACGCTGGTTTTTTATGTTTTGTATTACATTAATGAACACATTGTGTGACTTTATCACACAGAAACACTTGTGTTAATTTAGGCTTTATTTAAAAAATCTGAACAAATATTGCATAATTTGTGTAACAAAAATCTGATATTGATTTTTAATTATATAAGGTTTATTTTCAGATTTAATTTTGCTAGTTTACTACAGTGTCGTAGTGCTTAAAAGAAGGTGAAGGAAAGACCAATGCATGCGCAAGTGTATTTAAAATCAAATTTTTGGATGCAACTTACATCCTTTCTCAAGTTGCTGTAAACCTGTCTCAAGGTGCTGTTTGCAGCACCTTGAGACAGGATGTAGGATGCATCCGAAAATTTGCTGTTAATACACTTGCATATGTATTTGTCTTTCCTTCACCTTCATTCAAGCACCATGGCATGCTTAATAAATTTCTTAATACTGTATCTAATAATATAACAAATAATTATTGATTGTTAAAAATGAGTATACCAACTGTATAGTGTATTTCATTGTTAAAATGATGGATTTTGTTTTTATCTAGTGCACTATGTTTAGTTCATTTGATTGCAGCAATGTGTTATTGTTAATTATAAATAGTAATTATATATTTTTTTATTTATAGTAAGGAGTGATATGTCATCTGGTGAGGAAGAGGAGAAGGAAGAGTCATCATCCTCCTCTTCCTCCTCTTCCTCAGAATCATCTGAGTCCGAGTCATCATCATCATCGTCTGACACTGAAGAGGAGGAAGAGGAACCAGAGGAACTTAAGGTATGCATTTTGTAGTGTGTTAAGCATTGAGAGTTGCATTATATTGCTTGAGTAGCTTTAGCCCATCAGTATACAGTACTTGGATATCTCTGATATTTCTACTGACTTTGGTATTGTTTTTCCATTAGCTGGTTCGGTTGTGTGTATTTACTTAACAATTTATGTTCCTGGGGAAAACAATGATGGCATCAATTTTATGCTCTATTGCATTTGTGCTTAAGGACCATGCTTTTCTTTTTTGAGGGAAGCCCCTTGTGGCTCCCTGAAGCTGCCTTGATGAGAGGGGCCCCTAACTATTGGATCGCATCAGCTGTGGAATTGAGTTCAGTCTACCAGAAAACAGAGCCAGAACTTGGCATCTTTTCCCACAGAGGCACGGGAAGCACATGATACTGCCACCTCATCGGGAAAGTCACCCAGAAATTCAGTAAACTAGTACAAACAACTGCTGGGTTCAAAGCGACTGAAGCCTCAAATCTTGCCAAACGAAACTCCCCAACAGTGTAAATTAATGGTAAAAAATGTATCAAAATAAATGTGCACTTCTTTGCCCCACCGCTCCCACTCATGAGGGGAGGAAGGGCTTGCGCTGTCCACTGGTTCAAGCCCTCAGTTCCACTGCTGATGCGACACCTTCCTCATGTCTGCAGTAGGGCCCTATGGTTGTCAGTATGCCATGGCTGGCCCTAGTGATTTTCAATAGAGTGCTTCTCTGGACTTGGTCTTGTGTGCTTTGTTTTGTACACTGTAATGTAGTGTAGTGTGGCCCTGGCCTTTAGAGTGCTTAATGCATGTGCTCAGGGTTACCTTCCCTTAGTGCTCTCTATCACTGCACTGACAGTTCTCTTTTCTCTGGTGTGTTAAGGATATTGCTCCTTTAGAGGCCCTTCCTGCTTAGGTTTGCCCTCGCCTAGGGCAAGTCAGGGTATTTCCGTTGCCTCTCTGTCTTGATCCGGGTTGGGAGCGAGATTTAGCTGGTGGGGCACACCGGTGTCTCCCATGCTTGTACTTACAGCATGCCAGGGCTACACAGCCTTCACAGCTTTGTAGCTCAGGCTGTGTTGGCTTACTTTTAGGTCCAGCCTAGCAGCCCCAATACCTGAGTGTCCGACTTGGTTTACTGGCCCTTGGCCAGTAAACCAGTAAAACTAGCATCCCCAGTGCCTGACTTACTACTTGGTTTAATTTCAGGCCCTGGAAATCCTTTATGAGTTCAGTATGGCCAATGGATATATGGAGTGATATCTGAGCCTGTTCTCGCCTTGTGCGAATTTGAGGGTTGTTCATCGTCTGTGCGACGGAGCGATGATCATTCATTCTGCCTCCACTGTGCCACCTGTTGGGTTGATGACACCTTTGATTATGAATCTTGTGGGGTTTGTGCTCAACATGTGACATTTATAAGAACTGGAACTTGGGAGTCTGTAATATTGGATGTTTGTAAAGCCAGATGTCTGTTTGCCAGAGAGAGCCCCTGTATTTGAGTAAGTTCTCTGTCTCCTTTGTTTTGATTGACTAGATGTTTCTTTCTCCCATTGGAGTTGCTCCTGTTCCTTCCCATGTTTGGTCATGTCTTTCACGAGCATGCTGGCGTAGCCTGGGCAACAAGTGAGGTTATCGGCTCCTCTGGCCCACTTGTGATGGGTATTGACAACTGTCATAATTCAGAGAAGTGTTTGATTCACAGTCATTTGTTAAGAGTAATAATTTTAGCTATTTAGATCTTAATTTTCATTCAGAGGAGACTTATTGAGTTTAATCTTAGCTCTTGTGTATGATAGAAAGTTAGTCTGTTGGTGGTGGCCCAAATTAGATTCACCACTGTCTCCCTTTCTCAACTATGTAACTAAATGATATGTAAAATTACTGGTCATGGTGGGTGAACAGATCATTAGTCTTGTGGGTAAGATATGTAGCTTAGCTCCTTGTAGTTTGCTGATTCTGGGGAGCAATTGACCAGCTGGCTAATGAATTAGCATTTGATTTCCATCAGCACTAATATTTTCTTCCGATAATATCCACTAATTTCAGTAGAGTTTTTAATCTCTTGATATACCATGTATATATATAGGTGTTAATCAAATTGTATTTTCCAATAACTCTTCAAAACTGTACACAAGCTTGATATTAAGCACCATTCATGACAAATTAACTAACAGGAGTTGCGTCGTTTGGAAGCAGAGTTTGACGCTCATGTTAGATCAGCAGTGGAATCAGTCATGCGTACTCCAGAGCATGACCGTCCAGCAACTCCTTTGCCTGATCTCCTCCCTGACCAGATGGAAGATACTTGGATGGATGAATCTCCTCCCTCACCTGTAATAAAGGTATGTGTTCACTTAAGTTTTTCATGTAAAAAAAAAATCATTACTTCAGAGTTCAGTAATATTCTTAACCGTCATACCGCTAAGGGCAGTTCAAAGACCTGGCTCAATGAATCATCGAGTCTATTATGACTAAGGCTAAACAGGCTTTGTATGGTATCCCTGAGATACCATACTGACATGCTCCAGTGGTTGGCCTGCAACACTGCTAGGCGCCACAAAAAAAAATAAACAAAATTCTTTCGTCTTATAAAAGTGTTCATTTGTCTTCCCTGATCACGGGAAAAATAAAGAAAAAATCGTAGGTGGCATATTTTGGCCGCAGTAGGGCGGGGAAGTCTTGCAAAAAAAAAAAAGAGGCATTAACAGTTAATGCCTCTGTTAATGTTAATGCTCTGTTAATGCTGGTATAGTGTGATATATTTATATAATAAAATGTGTAAACTATTGCTATACTCAAAATTATGGTGTACATATTAGTGATTCAATTATTATGTTCATAAAACAATAAACAAATAGTTTTGCTGTTATTACATTATATATACACTGGTTATATATAAGTATCTGCATGTTTTGGTCATCATAACGAACCACTAAGTTGGTATAGTGAGTCAAAAAGCCACAAAGAGTGGCTGCCACACACCAGTCAGTCAGCCACTGACTGCCTCTCCCTTCGTCACCACCTCACTCGCCGACATTCTCCTCCCACCATACTGTTTTTGCTTTTATTCACTATATACAGGCGTTATATATATAAGCATCTACATGTTTTGCTCACCATAACTGAACAGCTTGACTTGTATGGTGAGTTTAGGCAATAAGAGACACAGCTACACATAGTCACCTGGTGGCGGCCTCCCTCACTGGTTCAATGCCAGACGCACTAATATTTCTCTTCCAATAATACTGTTTGTGGTGTTATTAATCTATATACACACATTATGTATAAGTATCTACATGTTTTATTCACCATACCTGTACAAATAAGCTGGTATGGTGCCCAAAGACCATAGTGGCCACCAGTACACAACATGACATGTCACGCAGACAACACACCTGGCGGCTCCCAACATACTCCTATTGTTGTTATTACACTATACACAGGTTATATATATGTATCTACATTTGTGTTCACAATAGCAAAGCATTAAGCTGGAATGCTAAGTCCAGTCACTAAAAGATGGCCACACACAGTCAGAAGACGACGCCACCTCCCTCCCTCCCTCAGCATTACTCCTCCCACCATATAGAGCATAGCACTAAATATCACCACAATCCTGCTATTATCAGAATCTTGGTCAGTTTTATCACAGTCAGGGGTCATCTGTAATACTATCATTGCTAAATAATAGCATGTTCATATATATTTTGACATTTGTAGGCGATGCTGTGGTCACAAGCTGAACAGCAGTGCTGTTAGCCCATGCTGCGTGCGCCAGCCTCAGTGGCTCACTCAGAATTGAGGCTCTCACACCCGGATATGTTACCCACAATTTTCTTTCTAGGTGGCGTCTGTTTACATATGGGGTCAGCTTGACTATAGCTCCCCCTATCCCTCGCGGGGCATTTAAAATCGTGCACTAGACCCTCAATCGTCTATATATGTTTTGAGCGGTTTCGTTAAAGTTACTCCCATCATCTATATATGTATTGCGTGGTTTAATGGTTAATATACTCTACTTTGTGTCTATTATTGTCAAAAGAATATAATGTTATGTGACATTATATTCACAATATAATGTCAACAACATTATGAAGAAGCAGGGATTGAGTGAGCAGTTCCTGACAAATGGCAGATAATACAGCGAGATGAAATAAGTCAAGAAAGTTAATGTTTAATATATTCATTAAATGATGGCACACAGAAAGCGCTTTTAATCTAGGGGCATTAAATGATAGAACCCTGCTAACAATGTATTGCTGGACTGTGATGCTGAAGTATGTCAGGGTGGAAGATATAGCAAAGAGTTGCATGTTTTATTTCCTAAGTGAGGGGAATCTTTATTCTTCCATTTCTTCTGTCTTGATGTCTCTGCACCCCCATACAGGTGGGAAAAATGGTAATGATGAGACTTTACTAGAGCTTTTAAGTCATATTTTCTTAAATGTATTGTTTTGAGAAAATAATACATTTGAAAACTGTTTTAATAAAGAGAAGCTTGTTAACTAAATTGAATATTTAATACACTAAAGCCCTTCATATGACACGCACTGAATCTATGCTTAGCATTTATAATGTATAACTTATACTCAGCAAATGACTTTGCAGCAGACACCAGTTCCCCCTCCAATAAAGAAATCTCCTCCTACTAAGAGTAAACAGTTGCCAAAGAAAACCGAATCGCCTGCCACACCGAAGAAACCAAAGAAATCTCCCGTTACTGCTGTGAAAAAAGAGAAGGCCCAAAAACCGAAGGAGAGAAGAAAAGAAATTGTGAAAGTTAAAAAGCCTCCAGATACTGTACCCCATGACTCAGGTTCAGAGGTATGTAATTTATTATTGCTCTTGTATCAAAGATAAGTTTTTAATATTTTAATGGGAGCATCATAATATGAATCCTCCTAATGGACAGTGCCTTGATGTGGCTGGGGGGATCCTGAGCACTCTTACCAATTGAAGAGCAGTTGAATATGACTTACAAAAACCCTCTTCTGGCCATAGCCTACAAAGTCAAGATTTAAGCTGTTCATTGTGACGTAGGCCACCTATGTGTTGGAGTCCCTTATACGTGGAGACCTTTATATTCTGTTTCCCCTTCAGTTGGAAGTTGAGTTTTTGCAGACACTGTCTGCTTTTGCAGGCTCTTGGAAGATAACGTACTTCTTCATTTGGGATAGGGGTAAAAAGGAAGGTTATGTGAGGCCTGGCTCAATGAATCATTGAGTCTATTGTGACTAAGGCTAAACAGGCTTTGTATGGTATCCTTGAGATACCATACCGACATGCTCCAGTGGTTACTTGCATAAACAAACCTTAGTGCTTATCTATCAGTTACTAAAGGGAGCGAGGTTTAGTTCATTTTGCCCTGCCTCCTGTTCATTTATATCTGACATGCTAATTGCATTCTCATCATTATATTCATCATATTTTTTCTTAAAGTTATAGATGGAAGTGACTTTGACAACTTTTACCTTCAATTGTTCTACTTGCTGATTATCCATATAAAGCACAAGAATTTATTTTATTTCTCCAGAACTTGATTGTGCATCCACTTATTACCGATGTCCTCTTGTCTTACTTCCTTTCAATTAAAAATAGGCTGCTTTTGGCTATGTTGTCTATTTTGCTCATTATCTTTTAAATAGTGATCATATTCCTTCTGTTTCTTTTCTCCTCATATCTGAACCATCTTAATTCTGGTACTAATTTAATTGCAAGCCTCTCTACTTTCTCATGTTTCCTTTTTGGCTTCACACGGTGCAGGTTCCATATCAGTGCTGCATACTTCAGTAATGATCCTGAAGAAGCAGTAAATATGGACTTTAAAACCTCCTTATTTAGTCTCCTAAATGCTCTTCTGATGTTTTGCCAGCTTCCTAAATAATAATTATGCTGCTGATATTATCCCGTTCACATGCGCTTTTGGTGTTTACGTTGAGATTATATCCATTCCAAGATCACTTTCTCTTAATGCTTCTTGTAATTAGTTGCATTCGTCTTATAATGTAGTTACCTATAATTCTTCTTTTCCCATCCTCATTATCTTGCACTTATTTGGACTGAAAAATTCCAGCAGCCATCTTTCTGCCCTTTCCTGAAGTTTGTCAAGTATTATTGCAGCACCCTACAATTCTCTTCAGGTCTTATTCACCTAATTAACTTTGCATCATCTGTAGACATTAACATGATGAGTTCACTCCCTGGTAGGTCATTTACATAAATTAGCAGAGAGGACTCAACTGTCTATGCTTAACCAGCCTGGCATGTGCTCTCTCTGACCCTTTGTTTCCTGTCTGTCAGGCACTCTCTTAACTAGCTCAGTAGCTTTTTTCTTTACTCCTGCTTTTCTTTCCATCTTATGCATTTAGCTTTTGTGAGGAACTGTATTCAAAGTTTTTTACAGTTACACATCCTTCATTTTCTACCCTTACTGTGATGACTCTTTGTCATAAAATTCAATCAACATTGTTAAGCATATCATTTTGATCTCTGAATCTGTATTGTATTCCCATTATGAGGTTTACTTGCCAAATACTCAATAGTTCTTTTCCTGATGACTTTTTAAAAGTTTTTTGCATCAGGTGTATGTTAGTAACACTGGTCTGTAGTGCATTATGCCTGTCTTATTTCTTGGATATTGGAACTACAGTAGCCTTTTCCAGATTTTCCCATTCTCTAACACAAGCTTTTCAAGATCCATTAACAATTCTGTAGTATCATTGATGAAGCTATTCTCATTAGTAACATAACTATCCTTCGCTTCATAATTTTAACCTCTTTAATATGACTTTTATTGGTGTGCTTTTTCAGTAAACTGTTATTTTGTGATAGAAATTAGTAGCATCTCATAAAACAAACTTTATTTGAATACAGACTGACACAGCCGATGAAAAAAGTGATCTGGACGATGGCTTGGGAGAATCGGCAGAAGCAGCAGAAGCATTGATGGCCTTAGCAGGGGCAGATGTCAATGGCAGAGTCAGATCTACTTCCTCCTCTTCTAGCACATCCTCTTCATCAGCTTTAAGTCGACTTTCTGGATCCACTGGAGAAGAGCAGAGGTCTCCAGTCCTCATGGAACACAGTTATTGTCTACCATGGGCACCTAAAGATGGAAGAGATGCCTCATTCTTGCCTCCGGGTAACTATCTTCTCGGTTATAACTTACCAGAAATATTTCTTCTTCCTTGTAGATTATTAAATTTTACATATACTACTCATAGATAGAGTAAACACCATCTTGTCTGGAGTTTATATAATCTGACTCACAGACAACACTCCTTGGACCTTCACTAAATGCCTTATTTCCCCTTGACAAGATACTTGGAAAGAAAATCAAAGACCTAAAGAGGATAGAAAGTAGGATTGGCAACATTGATGCTCATGATGCAATTTATTCCTTTCATGAGGTACTCTTATATACAAAGGTACCTCAGTTTATGAATTTAATCCATTCCTGGAGACGGTTCGCAACCCGAAAATTTGTAAACCGAAGCGAATTTCCCCATAAGAAATAATGGGAAATGAATTAATCAGTTCCTGACTCCACAAAAAATTAGTTTCAAAGTAAATTTTATACCTAATTCACCCAAATCTTCACTACAAAAGTATGTACAAGTTATTACTTGCCTTTGCTGATGACTCCTGTTGGCGTATGGAAGACGGTGAGGAGGGGGGAGGAGGAAAGGTGTTACTGATTGGAAGGGGAGTCACCTTCCATTATAACATCAGGCAGTGAGGACTTCTCTGGGGTGCACTCTCTGGCACGTTTTGCCTGCATATCACTAGGACCTGCTTCTTTCTCATTGTTTTTCTTGAAGATTGTTTTTCCCTTTGTAACACTTGTCTGTAGGGAGACATCACATTATCATTAATAAGATCAATGCAATGGCCTACTAAAGCTTTATCTGCGTGATTCTTTTCAGCAAAACTTTGCAGTTCTTCCCATACTGCACACATTTTCTTAATTAATGAGGAAGGGGAAATCTTCTACTGCCTCCTCCTCCTTCCCCCCCCCCTGAAGATTTGTTATACTGCCTAGCTAGTTCAACAACACGTGTACCATTTTCATGTTTACGAATGATCTCTTGTTTTTCCTCTATGGTCATTCTCACATGTGTTTTCTTGCCTTGAACCTTACCACTGGCTTTCTTGGGACCCATGGCGAGATAAATAATAACAACTTTTATGTTCAAATAGCCAAAAATCCAAAAAAAAAAACTGTAAATCCTTGCATTGAATTCAGGCGGGATAGTCACTAGGCGGGAGCCACTGGGAAACTGAGGCGCGATCGCCGTGCCACCACGCGCTTGGTCGGCCATACGTGTATCAAAAAACTCGTATCCCGAGATCAAGTTCGTAACCTGGTTCAAATTTTCCAAAGAAATCGGGCTCGTAACCTGAAAAGTTCGTAAAGCGAGGCATTCGTAAACCGAGGTACCACTGTGTTTGTGTGTGTGTGTGTGTATATACACACACATATATATACATATTTATAAATAATTCATTATTTAAAATATAATTTTATTTTGCAGAAGATATGGCCAAAAAAGGTTTTAAAGTCATGGGTGGTTCAGACCATGACTACACTCGCACGTGTACACCGCCAAAGAGTGACAAGACTAAGGCTTCTAAGACTGCAACGAAATTCACCACTCCTAAGCCAAGAGGGAAGGAGAACAGAGAGTTGCAAATCAAGAAGGAAGGTCTTGATAAAAGAAAAACAACACCTCCAGTTCTACCCAAATCTGCAACCATACCTACCTACACGCCGCGTAACCAGATGGAAGAATACAATGTCCTCTATTCATTTCTTATACGAGGTAAAAAATTCCATACTATTTTGCTTATTAATTTCTTCATTCTGTATGAATTCAGTAAAACCAAATGGGGATTACAGGTAAATTGCATGTGGATAGATAAATTGTTAGTGCAAAATATACTATAGAGTTCTTTAAAAAGTATTTTCAAATACTTTTCTGGGGAGAGCCCCGTCGGCTCCCTGGAGCTATCCAGGCTGAATGGATATGTATATCTTTCTGGCATCAGTCAATGCATGGCATTCTTGCCTACTGGGGACCACAAGCCAAAAATCTGACCCCCTCAGAAGAGGCATGAAGAGCAATGACCTATAGAGACCTCCATGTGGTTGGGAGCATTCTCTGTCTGCCATCGACCGGGACAGGCACCCAGAAAGGTAGGTGCCCCAAAACATACCCCTTTTCTGGTAAAATTATTGCGACCGAAGGCCGATCAGGTGGACAGAACTCCCCAAACAAAAAATAGCAAACTAGCATGACGTTATCAAGTCGCCACGTCTCTGTCTGCGCAACCCCCCCCCCTCTCCCCAGGAGGGGAAGGGGGGAGCCCCAGACCCATCCGCCGGCGATCCAACCTACAGTTCTTAGGCTGGATGTCAAAAAGCGTGAAAAATACCGCCGACCGGAGGGAGAGAGGGATGCCGGAGAGCCTCCGGGACTCGCCCAGAAAATGGTGTTTCATTACATTCAACGCTGGTTTTCTGGGGGAAGTTCCATTGGCTCCCCGGAGCTAACTATCCAAAGATAAGGAAAAAACAGGGACTTATCCAGGGAGGCGGTTCATCCTCACTCCTCAACGCAAAGTCGAGACAACTGGCTGCAACCGCCGACCCAATGCAGTGCAGGCCCTACCTGCCCCAGGAACATTCACCAGGTAATGACCAGCCAGGACCCTGTTCGACCTCCAAAAACCATGCACCTGTATGTCAACCTAAGACATGTTGCCAAAGACGGCAGCCAAAGCAGCAAACTTACGCACATCGTGGACATGGGGATAAACCACAGACTGGCTACACTTAACAACCCTGCAGACAACCTGAAAGACCCGAGCTCGGGAAAGGGAAGAAGGGAATCCGAGTCAACCCAAAGCACATCCCTTGCCACCGAAGCCGTGGCGCACAAATAACGGCGATGAGCCACAACCGGACACAACACATGATGCACCCCTGACCTGACCAACCAAACATCAACAACCCAAGGGCCCCTCTGAAATGCAGCCATCTCAGTCTTCGCTGCCGCCATCTCCAAGAAATAGATGGCTGTAACCGAACAAAACGACCACCAGGACCGAAGGAGCAGAAACTCCTGTGCCGGAGGAGAGTATGAGGCTTCCTGAACAGACCCCCCAGAGGCCAATGCCAACAGGAAAAAAGAGCTTTTGAAAACCAATCCCGAATGGAAGGGGCCACAACAAACCGAGGAGAAGAGAGAAACGAGAGCACCGGGTCCAAAGACCAGAAAGGCTCAGGAGGTGCATGAGCAGGCCGGAGGTGAAACAATGCCCGAGAAAGCTTGCAGAATGGGGACAGAAGTAACTAACATCAACACCGAAAGGAAGCTGAAGTGGCTCCGCCACCGCCTCAAGATACGAGACGACAGTATTGGGCATAAGATGACAGTCCAGGAACAACCAAGAGAGAAAGGACAGAACAACTCTATCAGAGACCGAAGAATAGCTACGCAGCGATAGGAAGAACCAGAAGGACCGCCAGGAAACTTCATACTGTCGCCGAGACAAAGCACGCAGGTAGGAGACCAACAACGAAGCCACCTGCGCACTATACAAGTGAATAAGTTATGATAAACCCTAGTCAAAATCACCAGATGCAAAGACTCGAGGAGAAGACCAAACCAGCCTTGCACCGGGTTGGACCGATCCGCTGAAAGAGGCGGAGCCGCGGGAAGACCCCCTCGGTTCAGGCAATGAACCATCGGGGAGCAGTCCGAATTTAGCTGGATTGTTGATCCGCCAGAAAGATATGCATATCCATTCAGCCTAGATAGCTCCGGGGAGCCTCCGGGACTCGCCCAGAAAATGGCGTTATTACATTCAATGCTGGGGTTTTTAAATATTAGTCTAAAATCAATTTCTAAAAATATTTTGATGAAAGTTTCACGAAGTTGATGCCAATAAGTTGGAGATTTGTTTAACATTTTAAAGTAATTTTTACATAATTTGAATATTTTTTTAATTATACCCCCTTCAATGTCACACATCATATGATGCAGTTTAAGGGTTAAAGGAATTACCATTCATACCCAAATTTGTTTCCAAACTACCAATTCAAAATGAAAATGAAAAATAGAACTTGTTTCAAATATAGTATGGTCGATGTCTTTTGTAAGAACTAAGTGTTTCTCTTAGTGTTGGATCCATCTATGCATAATATTTAGAAGCGTGATCAGTCATAATAACACTTCAACGTTCCGACCTGTCAGTATATGACCTTCACCTAAAATGCTTGTAATCTTCATTTTCTCAGTTTTTAGGTTATAGTAAAAAATTTCAGTAAAAGTGATTGCAAATGATTGCTACGTGTAGTTGAAAAATAAAATGTTCTGTGATAATAGATTATGCATGACTTTGCTGAATATACAAATGGTTATGAACATTTACGCATTCCTTATATACTGTACTAGTATTTTTCAACATAAAATAAAAATAACAAATATGGAAATGTCTACACATAATCTATTGCTTAAAAAAAAAAATAACTTTCATACTCTCCTGGTAGGTAATTTGTAAAGCATTATGAAAATGCTCAAAAGTAGAGCAATTATTATCTTGAGTATAGGTAGTTGGCCAAAGTGATCTCTGGATGGTCCCCTGATACTTTGGTTGATCGCGTGATAAGCTATGCCCACACAATGCTAAAAAAATTATATATATACAGATCTGTTAAAGCACAGATGACATATTTTAGCATCATTGGAACACTAAAGTGTTCATCTGTTGCGTCTATGTACTGTTGTGTTACATTTAGACATCAGACACTAATAATAATCTTACTTTGTTCAGGTATTGACCAGGAAGATATTGAACTTCTCAAAAGAAGCTATGAAGGCATGCTGGCAGATGACAGCCAGTCATACTGGCTGAACGATACTCACTGGGTTGATCATCCACCGACAGATATCCCACTCCCACCAAAAAAAAAGAGGAGATTGGATGATCTTCCTATACATAAATCGGGCTGTGCTCGTACTGAAGGCATTTACAAAGTAGACTCCAAGCAGAAACAGAGGCATAAAGTTAGTTTTGGTAGTTTTTGTTTTACTGCACAAAATATAGTAGTCAATAAATCTAATTGTTTTTGGAATTCACTGTTAAAAACTTCAGGGATGCATGTTGAAATTACAATAATGTGATGTTTGAATGAAAAATCTTTGGTAAAAATTGGATTTAGGCAGCAGCTCAGTGCCTTCAAACTACCTCTAAGTCTGGGTAGACTTCAGGTTCTGTTGCTATTAAGCTCATTGTGGTCTTGTTAGTCATGCATGCATCTAGGGTGACCCAAGACGTGTGTTCGATTGCTCTCGTTGCTCCAAAGATTTTCTCGTATCTAGGGATGTTTAAATATCCATCGTTCCCTAACATCTCGGCCATTAAGCACTTTCAAGCAATCAGTATTATTGAAGTTTCTGTTGAACATGTATTATTTTCCTTTTACAGATACAGTGCCTCACTTTGATTTTCTGAAGGAGGGATTTTAATTTAGCATTCTATTTTTAGGAGTAGATTAGAGTATAAGTGCTTGAATTGGAGATTTTTGCTGTAATGGCAGTGGCAGAGTATAAATGACTGATAAACTATCTGTAGAAAGAAGAATGTAAGAAAATAGATATTAGTCTCCCAGGGAATTTTGAACATTTCTTAGTTCTGTTCCGTACCTTTAGTGAGGCATGGAAATACACTATGACATTGAAGCAAGATTGTTTATTAGCAGCATTTAATGCATAGTAGTATATCTAATTAATTTACCCTTGAGTTGATTATGGAGAGAGAAGAGAAGATTACTCCCCAAGCTTTATGCCCTATCTTTAGTTGTGTAGAGTATCATTTATCTCTGACAGCTTATTGTAGAGATTCATTAATTGCTTCACAAGAATAATACTGTAGTTGTAATTTTATTTTTGTAATGATAAAAGATTTATTAGCGAGATTTGAAGATTTTGAGTGTTGAACTACTGGAATCCATTGTAGTCTATTTCAGAGTATTTAGCATTTGTGATACATATTTAACCCAAATCCTTTTACTTTTAGTTTACATTCCATCAAGATCATGCAGCGAGAGCTGCAGAAGACCCTCAGCAACAGAGCCTTGCAGTCCTGGAGTCTAGTAAGGCTAAGCTTACTCAGATGGCTGTGAGCAGGGAAGTGCGCTCATTCCAGAGACGACTTCTTACAGCATTTGGCAATGAGACAGACTCTGATTTGCTCAAGTTTAATCAGCTCAAGGTAAGGAATTTTTTTCTTTGTTCAGTATAGAGCAGTTACATTATGGTAGAATACAGGCTATACAGTGTATTAGTGAATGTGTCACTTGCTTTTTGTTATATAGATTATGGTGCTGTAGTTATTTTTCTTAAAAGCAAAGCTGTATCTCCTGCTGCTCCGCCTCCGTGGAGGTGGAGGAACATTCCAATTCGACCAGGGCTGTTCCACATGTGGTATGTACCAACCCTTTCATGATTCAGCCCTACTCTTTGGCAATTTGCCTCTTTGTTGCCATTGTAAGGGGTCATCTGGCTCCTTTCACCAGCTCCTGACCAGGTAGAGTTGGTCAGTCCCTTCCCAGCTTCCTGGGGTTGGGGTCAGGTATCCTCTCCAGCTCTGCATCTGGTCATTATGGGTTGGTTGGCCTCAGACATAGTTGAGTTTACCTTGTCCTTTTAGAGGGAGTCCCGGTTGTTCCCGGTCCCGAAGAGGGACTCGGCAGACCTTCAGTACATCTTTGATCTTTTGGGTTTGAACACCTTCATTGCCTGTCCAACCTTCTACATGATACATATTGGACGTCCACATTCATCCCGGGTTTAGAGACTGGTTTAGTTTTGTGGTGGGGCATCAAGCTTACCACTTAAAGGTTCATGCTTTTGGTTTTAGTGTGGCTCCCCATCTGTTTATCAAGCTACCTCAGCTGCACTTTCTAAGGGTTCATGTGTTGGCCTACCTCAAAGGTTAGTTTGTTTGGGTTCCCAGTTGGTCCGCATGTCAGCAAGCCAGGAATCTGTTTCTTTCCCAATTTGGTAGGTTTGTGTTCCTGGTGAGCTGATGAAAGTCCCACTTGGTTTAGTCCCAGGTTTAAACTTGGCTTGGCCTCATTTGGGACTCTTCGTCGGCTTCTCTTTCCCCGTCTCCAGTTTCATCGCCAGCTGGTGTTGGATCGGCCCCGAGTGATTTGCCAATTAGTTGAGCGGTTATGCAAGAGCCTCAGCTATGCTTACATAGCCTACGTCTTTCTCGTTAATTTTGAATATTTCTCTTGTTTATGTGAATCATTTGTGGAGTTGTTTGGTGTTTTCGAAGTGTGTATTTTTTGCTAATCCTCCAGTTGTCTATGAAGCTTCACTGATTTTCTGAATGCTTTCCCAGTGTTTGAGGAATTGTTACTTGCTCTTTTTGCCTATGTGAGGGGATGGGGGGTCAGAGTTTTGGCTCTGATTCACAATGGGTCAAACAGAACTCCTGCGTCTGGTGCGACCCATTTGCATGGTGCACTCTTAGCGATATAGCTTCAGGGAGCCACCAGGGCTCATCCAAAAAGAGGTACATATTTCATTACATTTGATGCTGGGTCTTTTCTTCAAGCTCCCCTCCCCCCCTCACCTCAAAGAGAACCAGATTCTGGTTCTGACTTTAGGTATGCAAGGGTGGGTCTGAGAGACCTGTTTCATCTCCTTTAGGCATGGCCTTACCAGTATTTATCTCAAGAAACATCCGAGGGCCCATCAGAAAAGGGATCTCATTAATTTCAACACTTGTTTCTGGGGGGCGGAGCCCCTTCGGCTCTCCGGAGCTATCCAGGCTGATATGTATATCATTAGGCTTTTTGGCATCAATCAATATGAATGGAGTTCTAGGCCTACTGGGGACCACGAGCCAGAACCTGGCCCCCCTTCAGAGAAGCACGAGGAGCAATGACCTATAGAAATGCACATGAGATTTGGCACATTCTATGTCTGCCATCAACTGGGTAAGACACCCAGAAGGGTAAGCGCCTCAAAACAAACCTCTATTCTGGTTAAAATGACTAAAATAGACGAACGAGTGAACAGAACTCACCAAATGAAAACGAGCAAGTGAGCATGACCCGAGCACAAGGGGGAGGGGGCTGTCAGCTGAGTGGATAGTGCTTCAGATTCGTTGTCCTGAGGTTCCGAGTTCGATTCCCGGTGGAGGAAGAAACAAATGGGCAGAGTTTCTTTCACCCAGATGCACCTGTTTTCCTAGCAGTAAATAGGTACCAGGGTGTTAGACAGCTGCTACGGGCTGCTTTCTGGGGATGTGTAACAAAAGGAGGCTTGGTTGAGAACTGGGTTGCGGGGACGCTAAGCTCCGAAAACATGTCAAGATAACGTCACACGAGCCGCGCCGCATGACTGTGCAGCTCCTCCCCCCCCCCTCCCCATGGGGGGAAAGGGGGAGCCTCAGACCCACCGCATCAGCGATCCAACCTACAGTTCTTAGCTGACGTGATTGTGGCTCAGTGTTGCGAGCACAGACCACCTCCCGGGTAAGTCCCTCTAGTTTTCGTTTTCAGTGATGTAGCTCCAGGGAACTGAAGGGGCTCCCCCCAGAAAACCAACGTTGAATGTAATGAAATGCCATTTACTGGGTGAGACCTGGAGGCTTCCCAGCAACTTCCCCCCCTCCTCCCGGGCGATGTTTTTTTTTTATGTATTTTGACATCCAGCCTCGAACTGAAGGGTGGATAGCCAGTGACCTTGGTCTGGGGCTCCCCCTTCCCCCTCCCGGGACAGGGGAGCTGCGCAGACATGCGGCACGGCTCATGTGACGTCATGCTTGTTTGCTCGTTTTCATTTAGGAAGTTCTGTCCATTCGTTAATCTATTTTTAGTCGTTTAACCAGAATAGGGGTTTGTTTTCAGGCACTTACCTTTCTGGGTACTTGGCCTGGTCGATGGTAGACATAGAATGCTCCAATCCCATGTGCATTTCTATAGGCCATTGCTTCTCGTGCCTCTCTGAAAGGGCCAGGTTCTGGCTCATGGTCCCTGGTAGGCCTAGAACTTCATTCACGCTGACTGATGCTAAAATCTAATGATATACATATCAGCCTGGATAGCTCTGGGGAGCCTCCGGGTCTCGCCCAGAAAATGGCGTTTCATTACATTCAACGCTGGTTTTTTGTTTTCCTTTTTTCTTCTCTTCCTGGGCATTTTGTCTCCCCCATAATATTGATTTCACTCTGTCTGCCTTATATGTCTCTTCTAAAATCCTATAAACTAATAGTTTCCCTGGAGTTTAGGTGTGACACGATGCTGATTCTATGTTATGCTGCAATATACTGTATAGCATTAAACATGGCGAGTGAATGAGGCACCTGTTTTGGATATAATTTTTTTGTTCCTCCTATTTCTTCAGGAGTAATGCAACATGTTACAACTGGGGATCCATGACTTTGAGTGTGCAATATTATAATTGGTGATAATGTTTACATTAATTCTGGTGTTTACACAGATTAAATAAAAGCTTAACATAACTTTTATTGAAGGTAAAAATTTATTTTACAATTGCAATCTTAAGTTCAATTTTAAGAAAATGTTAGATTTGCTGTTTGTCATCTACAAGTTTTTATCTAAAGTACTCTGTATCTTTCTCTTATAGTTCCGAAAGAAACTCCTGAGGTTCGGTAAATCACGTATTCATGACTGGGGATTGTTTGCAATGGAAGCAATTGGATCAGATGAAATGGTCATTGAATATGTTGGCCAAAGTATACGATCCATCATTGCTGATCTGAGGGAAATCCAGTATGAAAAAATTGGTATTGGATCATCTTACCTGTTCCGCATCGACTTGGAAACCATCATTGATGCTACTAAGTGTGGCAATCTAGCACGTTTCATTAACCACTCTTGTAACGTAAGTTTATGTAATATTTTGTTTGGATTTTCATTGAGACTTTCATAGTTGCTAGCAAGTTTTTTCAGGTGCTTCCCCATACCATAGGAATCCTAAATTTTCACAATTTTAGCTGAACCATAGTTCAAGAGTAATAGTGTACTCCCCTTCGTGTTCCAAGAGATGACTCCTGTAAGAAATGTCCTGCTCTTCTGATGGGTAGTATCAGCCAGATATTAAAAAAAGATTTATGCGTTTTGAAGGGAAACCAGAGTTTGCCCAGCCAGATAGCCAGGACTGGTTGACGTGTTCAGGAGCAGTGGGGGTTCTTTTAAAATATCACTTTTAGGCTATTCGGGGGCAAGATACACCAGTGAATACTATAGAGTATATAGCCCTATATGACCCTGTGTCAAAGAGACCATTGAGTATTGCTCTGCTTACTGCTAGTTAGCCACTTGTTGCCATTAGATGGCAGCACCTACAGACATAGCTCATTCAGTTGCTTCACAACCTAAGTTCCCCATTTTAGTCAAAATGGAGCTCTCAAAAGTGGTAAGTGGTAAAAGACGATATTTACTTTGAACACTATCCGATTTCAGAAAATTCAGAAATGTGCTCTTTATCTTATGTACACGAGAAGCTTTATTTTTGTATATCATGTACCATAATTAAATTTACATATATGGTAATTGTTAATGAAAATTTGAAACATGTGCTAATTGTTTTCTTTCTGCTTTCAGCCAAACTGTTATGCAAAAATAATTTCCGTAGAAACTCAAAAGAAGATAGTAATTTATTCAAAACAACCTATTGCTTGTGGTGAAGAAATAACATATGACTACAAGTTCCCAATTGAAGAAGAGAAGATTGTATGTTTATGTGGTGCTTCACAGTGTAAGGGAACACTTAATTAAGGAGTTGTAATGAGTTACATCAGAAAAGCATGATAGTACTCTCGTCAGGGCATCATTGTGGGCGCAACAGCAAGAACCGGTGATACGGAAATAGGTAATTTACTTGGCATTTAAACGTGAAGTTGTGAAAGCTAAAAAAATAATCTTTAAAATTTATTTCATGTAATTTATGGTCGTCATTGGTATATATTTATTTTGCTACATTCTCTTATTCTAAATATTATATATGGTATTGTATAATAAATTCTGAGATAAACTGTATGTAAATAACTAAATTATAATTAATTGTACAAATTAAATTGAAGGTCATTTATTTAATAAATAAGACCTTATTTTTATTTATGAAAAAAATTGGTTTTTAC